AATACCCTCCAAGAGTTATATTGGGTGGGTAGAAATATCCAAGGGAAATTCCCATTGGTACACTCCAGGTATCGACTTTTCTCGGCGGTACCACATTTTTTTTGACTTCTTGCTGATACATCCCAATTTATGACTTTATAATTGACGTGATTATTCTGTTAATTACACGTTAATAACTTAGTAATGTTAGGTTAAAAGCTGAGTTAGGTTACTAAAGTAGGAAAAGACTAATATGCCCCCTTTTAATCCTTCCCTCCATCACCCATAATTAAACCCCTTCCCTTTCCATTTATGTCGATTGGACATAAACCAAACAAAACTTTCAAATTTCATCTCTCTCTCCTCTGCTCTCTGGTGAATTCACAAAGCAATCCTAGGGTTTTGCAAGGGAAATTCGCAAATTTCGTTGGTCTACAAAGCCATTAGAGGGAAATCTTGCATAATTCAGGTACTTTAGCACTACTACTGTTCATTTTTGCATGATTTGGTGCAGTTGATTGGTGTTCTGTTTTTCTATGCGATTTTGGGTTTAATTCATGATTTAAATGTTGTATATGTGTGCGATTTTAGGGTTCTTTCATGTATATTATGTGCGTGATTATGTGTGTTCAATTATTTGTTTAGAGTATGGATTTAATTTAGATGAAATGGCATGATCATGTTTCATTGTCTGTTGGATTCCTGAATTGCAACGTATTTGCATGTTGTAGATTGTTAGATACCTGAATTGGAATTTATTTGCATGTTATAAATGTGTACCTTCTTTTGCAGAATGGGTGATGTGGTGTTAAGGTTTCATTACTTTGATAAGCATGTTGATCTTGCTGTTGACTTAGATAGATGTAATTTGATGGATTTGGTTATGGATTTTGAGGACACTGCTGCATTAGACTCCGAGTTCCCTATAATCAACCCTTCATTTGGTTATGGTTTCAATGAAAAGAATCACCCTTTACTAGATGATGCTGATCTTTTTAAGATGATTCATACCCCCTCAGAATGAAACACTACAAATAGATCAACCCACTAAAACTAAAGCAACCCAAACATAACCCCTCCAATTTGACCCTTCCCAAACTGAACCTCCCCTTTCTATTGATGAGATAAGCCTTAATAATGAGTCCTCTCCACCTAGGTATACTGAGGGTTATGATTCACCCCAAGATGAAACAAATCAATCTACTGCTGAGTATACCAAGGGTAGAATAGAGTTTGAGAACTTATGGAGAAGATAGAGAAGTCTAGGAAGGTTAAGGCTGCACCAAAGGGTAAGAAGAAAGTTGTCACCATAACAGCCCCAATGCAACCACCATCTCCTAAGTCACCAAATATTGTCTTCAAGGGTTTAGCACTAAGAAGGAGTCCTAGATTTTCACCTTTGGCAGTGACTGACACACCTAATACTTCTACTGCTGACCCATTGACAAATGCTTCACAAACAACTGTATTTATGAAAAAGGTTCCTAGATCCACAGCTATAAGAAAGAGGTTAGTGAAAGTATCAACTGTGACTGAGAGAAGGATGCTAGGTGTTGGTGACAGAATGAGTCATCTGCAAGGATCAGCTTCTAGGGTTAATGTGAATTTGAGTGAGGGCAGTAGTGCTGGGGAGAATGTGGGTGAGGTGTAAGGAACATCTGGTTCAAGAGTTAGAAGAAAGATGAATTTTGTGGTAGAAAGCTCTGAGTGTGTTGAGACAGAAATCAATCCTGGTTACAATCTTGGTGAAAAAGATGAGGACTCTGATGGAGATGTTGCACCAAAAGGATCTATTCCAGCAGATGAGCAAGTACAACTAACTAGGATTCCAAAAGTGAAGGACACTTGGAAACCATCAAAATGGTTTGATTTTTTTGATGAAGAAGATGATGAGGATTATTGTAGACACCTAAAAATGTCTCCCCAAAACCAAACCCGATGATGAACAACCTTTCACCGCCATTATTGGTCGGGTTGAGTATTTAATTTTTGGAGTGCTTAAATCCATATTTCCATTTCATAAAACAACCCAATTCCTAGCACATTTCCCCAAACCATAACTTATTTTCCTCTTTTCGTGCCTTTAAACCCAAAATAATTTATTTCGTGTCCTTTAAAATCATTCATTTCGTGTCCTTTTTATAAAAACGTTTGATCCATTTTATTTTGGTCCATAGTCTGGATCCAATGATTGAATAGTTGGATGGGTCTTGTAAAGAGATTTCCAACGATATATTATAAGCCCAAATCCGAGCTATAACGAATAAGTTATGGCCAAAATATTAAACTAGCCCAAATCGAATCTAAGCCCACCTTACCTACGACCCAATGATCATGTGGAGGGTCCAAATTATTTAATACCATTCCTAAACCAATTAGGATTAATTGGAAGCTTCTATAAGTTTCTAAAAGATCTTAATTATCCTTTTTGAAAAGATAAGATTAAATAGTTTGAAATTGAATAAAAACTCCTTTTTTTGAAAATCCTATTTATATCCGAATTGAAAGACGTTCAATGATAGACAGATATTATTTTCGTGCATCATATTTTTTATACAAATTTTATATGTTGGATAGCCCTTGAAATTATCTTTCCAATTATATATTATAATATCAATTCCGAGCTATAACGGAAAAGATATGAATAAGATATCAAACTCTATCCAAAACTGACACCGTCTCACTATTTCGTTCATATCTTTTATTCTACAACATATTTTAATCTGATTCTAATTGGGTTAGAAATTAAACTTCAAGATCTTTCTAACGATATCTTATTCATCTTATTCCGATTTCTGGATCAAAAGATATGATAAAAACAAAAACCGCAAAAACTGCTGTCTATCGAGTTTTATTCCGATTTAATTCGGATCTTATCTTGTTTTTTTCGACCCTTCTTTTTTTCTCTATAAATAGAGGTCATATCACCCCTTTTCCAAACATCAACAATCTTGATCATAAAATAATTCTCTTCTCCATTTTTAGCCTAAATAATAGACACCCTATTCTCTCAAAATACTTCCCCTAATTAAGCACTCCAAGGAGTTCATACAATACCCAAAGTTCTATACTTAAACCAAGGCGTGAAAGGTATATTTAACTGAGGGTTTGGACCAAATCAAATATACATTTATATAATTTAATTGTTTCAATTTGATTTATTTTTATTGAAGTTACTAACAGTTTATTCATGATGTAGCAATTCAAGGAAATGCGGAAAGTGAGTAGTTAATCATTTAATTACTCTTATTTTTATTCTTGTTGCTAGCATCATGATTAGGTTATTTTATATTTAATTTGACTAACGATATTATGGTTAAATTGTTTCCAATATTAATGTTCATTCTATTTATTGATCACTATATTGCATGTTTAAAGGGAATATGTAATTGGAAATCACGCCTAATAAGATGATTTGAACAACCGGTTTAGGTTCCTTTTTAATCTTGTTAATTAATTCAAGTGATCACAAATATTTTAGAATTATGTGTTGCATTAATATTCAACCAATTTAGCTTAATAATAGTTTGGAGCAAATTAAATATTTTGTTTATATGCCTTTGAGATCGCAGGAATCACTTTTCACTATAAGAATCGAGTAGAGGCCAATACAGGCGAAGGTGACTCCATGACTCACTTCGTACCATCATCCCCGGTCCTCCTTTCGTGGTTCCGAACCATATGCATTTAGTAATCTCATGGATTATGAATGGGGTGTAACCTTCACGGGTCATCGTTGTTTCCTATCGTTGTCCCTTTATTCGTGGTTGCCTTTTATGATCCGTGAACGGTTTACAAGTTCCTTAAAAACTTATTGGAGGCTCCCTACTTTCCTTGTCCCTAATCGTATTATGTCAATTCCCACTTCCTATGAGTGCCAAGAATATTCACCACATGCTTTAATGTAGGCGCATTTCGAGCGACGCCTACAATTATTTTCTTCAAGCGACGCCTACAATTATTTTAAGAGATTGTACAAGAATGGTGAAATGTATGAGGATGTTGACTTTGGTAAAATAACACTCAGACCTTGGATGATTTTTAATGACAAGGCTCACTTTAATGACACTTTGAAGGATTTTGCTTTCAAGAAAGATTTGCCATCAATGTAGAGTATGTTGACAACAAGAGGTACAGTGCAGTTTCCAATCTGATTGTTGTGAATGGAGATTGCATGCTAGCAGACTGGCAGAACATGGGCAATCAAGAAAATATGGCCCAATATACACACTTGCAGGGGCTTAGAGACTTACAACCCCATATGCAATGTAAAATGGGTATCTCAAAAAGTCATGGAAGACATCAGGGCTAACCCAGACATTCTTGGGAAAGCACTCAATGAACTTCTTTTTCAGAGATATGGCATCTACATGAGGCAGTCAACCTTGTACAAGTTAAAGAGCTATGTGATTGAGCAGTTATTTGGAGGGCATGATGAGTCATGTAGACTACTGCCAATGTATGCTAAGATGTGCATAGAAACAAACCCATAGTCCAAGGCTTTTTGTGCATGGAATGAAATCGAGTCTATCCCTAAACAGCTTCAATTTTCAAGCATTTTTATCTCATTCACTGGACAATTAAAAGGTCTTTTAAGAGGTGTTAGACCTTTAATTGGTGTAGATGGAACCCACCTCAAAGGTAACTATGGGGGGGGGGGGTATTGCTCTCTGCTGTGGGAATAGATGGCAATAATGAGATCTTCCCCATAGCATATGCTGTAGTTGGCTAAGAAGACAAGCAATCATGGACTTACTTCTTTTGGCATTTGTTGAACATTGTGAAAGATTCAACAAGGGAGCATTAGACCATTATTTCTGATAGGCAAAAGGCAAGTAAATTCCTTTTTCTTTTTCAATTTTTATTGCTTTTTCTGATATGCAAATATTCAAATGCTAATGCTGTACTCATTGTTTCAGGGAGTTGAACTTGCACTAGAACAAGTATGGCCAAAAGCTGACAGGAGGTTTTGATGTAGGCATCTCAGTAGAAATTACAAGAAGCTTTTTCCAGGCCCTATGATGTATGTTCTATTTTGGAGAGCATGCAATGCATCTTCAGCTTTCACATTCAGGAAAGCTATGGAGAAGTTGCAGAAAGCAGGAGGTGAAGATGTCATGACTTGGTTTGCAGACTTGGGAGAGAAGTCTAAGTGGAGTAAGCATGCATTTGACCCAAATGTTTGCAATGACTCCAATACATCTAATTTTGTAGAGAGCTTCAACTCTACACTAGGGGTGAATAGGTGTAGGCCTATTTTGACTTTTCTAGAAGGCATTAACCCACCTCTTGCTGTGTTAACATTATCATTTCAAACTGATTTGGTTTGTTTTCTAATTAAGACAATTAATGCAGGAATAAGAAGGGTTTGTATGGTGAGAATTGCAACAAGGATGGAGAATGCAAGGTCTTGGAAAGATGAAGACATTACTCCTAAAATTGTGAAGCTAGTGAAAGAAATAAGTAAAGCTAGCTCAAAATGCAGAGTTTTCAAGTCCATCCCAAGTGAATATGAAATTCATGAGGGAAGATCACAGTTTCCTCTCAGCTTAAACAAGAAAGTTTGTTCTTGTGGGGCATGGCAACTGACAGGTGTGCCTTGTAAGCATGCCATTAGGGCTTGCATTGATGCAAAGTTGGACCCACATGACTTTGTCAATTCCTGGTACTCTGTGAAGACTTACAAGCAAGCTTACAGTGTCTGCATTAACCCAATTCCTGACACAGAGCAATGGCCTGCAGATGAGTCAGGTAAAATCATCATGCCTCCTAAGATGAAGAGGGGAATTGGAAGACCAAGTAGGAACAGAAAGAGGGAAGAAGGTGAAGAGCAACCTGAAAAAAGGTCAAAAACAGTGAAATGCAGAAAATGTGGTTGCTTTGGGCATAATAAGACAACCTGCAAGGGAGGCTTAACATGAAAAGAATTGAAGTCAAATGAGCCTGTTGTCATCAAGAATCCTAGGGTCAAATACCAAAGTAATGCAACAAAGGCACCTAAGGCAGCAAAGCAATTTGAAGCACTTGGATCTCAGTCTGCAGCAACTCAACCTTTAGCATCTCAACCTGCAGCTTCAACCAAAAAAGCAAATTAAAGGGAAAGAAGGGCAGACCCTCAGCTGAGCAAGCAACAGTGCTGACAGCTTCACAATTTCCTAGCCAACCAGTGCACATGTCTTAAGGAAACTCTAATTCTCAAAGCTAGCAAGTGTTCTGTTTTGCAGTATAGTAGCATATGTTTTTTTGCTAATTTGGATAGAAAGTCAAACTTTGTAGTTAACTCTATGTTTTTTGGTCATTTTGGATGATATGATATTAATGAATGTTGGCAACTGATGCCATTTTGTCTATTTCAAGTGGTCCCACATTTTGTTCATTTTAATGAATGTTGGCAACTGATGCCATTTTGTCTATATTAAGAATGGTCCCACATTTTGTTCATTTTGTTAATTTTAGTTGATCTCAATGATTGATTCAATGGTAACTTATCAAACAGCATTAAACACATTCAAAATACAAATTATTTATCAATTTTCATTCAAAACCAAGAAAATACAACCTTCCTAGTACTCTTACTCTCTGAAGTACATGGCAACTAAATACACAGTCCTCATTTCAAAGCTACAAACAGTAAAATTAGATACATCACAAGAGCAATTCTAACAACCATATAAACATAGCTTGCAAACTCATATGCTGTCTGTGAAATCAATAAATTCCTCTCTTAATAATCTCAAATTGGATGATTATTCATGGTTTGCTATAATTTAATCTTTAGAAACCCACATGAACAAACCACAATGCCTGCACTTGTAATATGACCTCCCTGGATTCGAAATTGAGTTAGAAACCCTAATATCAGCATGTCTTGGTGGATTACAATTGCAGTGAATTCGTCTCACCCACATGGACCTCCCAAATCTGCTGCCAGAAGAGGAACCACTACCTGCAGAACCAGCCATGTCAGAAGAGTATAGACCAACAGAAAAAAGAAAAAAAAAAAGGAGAAGAGATAAGTTCGAAGCAATGGAGGAGAAATTTAATGGAGAATAGAAGAGGGAAAGTGGCGTTTTATAGGGAGAGAATAAGGTTTGGGAAGTTGGAGGGAAATAACAGCAAAATTAAGGGGGGAAAATTGGAGGGAAATGATTAAAAAAAGGGGGGGTATATTAGTCATTTTATCTATTACTAAGCCTAAAATGTTAATAAACCAAGTTATTAACATCTGATTAACAAACTTAATCACGCCAGTTAGGAAGTCATAAACTGGGGTGTATCAGCAGGAAGTCAAAAAAAAATGTGGTATCGCTGAGAAAAGACAATACCTGGAATGTACCAATGGGAATTACCCAATATCCAATGAACTTTTAAACGGCTTATTTACCGGTTTACAACTTGCACCAATTTCATTAACTTAAGTCTACCACGAACATTTATGACAAAATATAATGATCATATATGTTTCCAAACGACATTATATGACCATGAGATTTATTCCCTAGAATTTCTAGACTTTTTGAAATAGAGACCCAAAACCTTAAAAAATTCGCAAAATGCGTGGATTAGTCTTCAATTTTGGAATTTTTTTTGACTTTTTTTTAACTCGGAAATAAAAATTGTCAAAATATTTACCATGATCCCTAATACCCTTCCGGAGTCCAATTGGGTGGGTGGAAATATCCAATTTGCATGTAAACGGCCAATTTACCAATTTGCAAATTGCACTGATTTCATTAACTCAAGACTTTCACGAACATTTATGACAACATCAAATGATCATATATGGTTCCAAACAGTAATACATGACCCTGAGATGTACCCCCTAAAATCTTAATGTTTTTCGACATTGGGCCCCAAAACCTCCAAAATTACTCAAAAAGCGTGGATATTAGCCTTCAATTTTGGAATTTTTTGACTTATTTTTTCCGGGAAATAAAAATTTCCGAAATGTTTACTAAGGTACCTAACACCCTCCAAGAATCCAATTGGGTTGGTGGAACCATCCAATTTTCCTTTGAACGACCAATTTATCAGTTTACAACTTGCACCGATTTCATTAACTCAAGCCTATCACGAACATTTATGACAACAAATAATGATCGTATATGGTTCCAAATGATATTATATGACACCGAGATGTATCCCCTAGAATTTCAAAACTTTTCTACACCGTACCCCGAAACCTTCGAAATTTCTCAAAAAAGTGGATATTAGCCTTAAATTTTGGAATTTTTTGACTTTTTTTCGCCCGAAATAAAAATTGCTGAAATGTTTACCATGGTCACTAATACCCTCTGGGAGTCCAATTAGGTTGGTGGAACCATCCAATTTGCCTGTAAACGACCAAGTTACCGGTTTACAACTTGCATCGATTTCATTATATCAAGCCTATCACGAAAATTTATGACAACAAATAATGATTACATATGGTTTTAAACGACAATATATGACCCCGGGATGTATTCCCTGGAATTTCAAGACTTTTAGACATCGTGCTCCGATGACTCCAAAATTTCTCAAAAAGGTGGATATTGATCAATTTTCGAATGTTTTGACTTTTTTTCGCTTGACAATAAAATTGTCGAAATGTTTATCCTGGTCCCTAATACCCTAAAGGAGTTCAATTAGGTGGATGAAACCATCCAATTTGCCTTTAAACGACCAATTTATCGGTTTACAACTTGCACCGATTTCATCAATTCAAGCCTACCACGAACATTTATGACAACATATAATGATTATATATGATTTCAAACGGCATTATATGACCCCGAGATGAATCCCTTAAATTTTAAAGGCTTTTCGATACCGGGCCTCGAAATTTCAAAAATTTCTCAAAAATCGTGGATATTAGCCTTCAATTTTGAAAAATTTTGACTTTTTTCGCCCAGAAATAAAATTGTTGAAATGTTTACCATGGTCACTAATACCCTCCACGAGTCCGTGGGTGGGTGGAACCATCCAATTTGCCTTTAAAGGGCAAATTTATCGATTTACAACTTGCACCGATATCATTAACTCAAGCCTACCACGAACATTTATGACAACATATAATGATCATATATATGGTTCCAAACGTCATTATATGACCCCGAGATGTATTTCCTAAAATCTCAAGACTTTTCGACATAGTGCCCCGAAATCTCCAAACTTTTTCAAAAAGCGTGGATATAAGCCTTCAATTTTGGAATTTTTTGACTTGTTTTCGCCCACAAATAAAAATTGCCAAAATTATAACTATGGTCCCTAATACCCTTTGGGAGTCCAATTGGGTGAGTTGAACTATCCAATTTTCCTTTAAACGACCAATTTACCGATTTACAACTTGCACCGATTTCATTATCAAGTCTACCATTAACATTTATGACAACATATAGTGATCATAAATGGTTCCAAACGGCATTATATGACCCCTTGATGTATACCCTAAAATTTCAAGGCTTTTTCGGCACTAGGCCTCGAAACCTCCAAAATTTCTCAAAAGCGTGGATCTTTCAATTTTGGAATTTCCTGACTTTTTTCGCTCGAAAATTAAATTTGTCGAAATGTTTACCATGTTTCCTGATACCCTCCGAGAATCCAATTAAGTGGATGGAACCATCCAATTTGCCTTTAATATGCCAATTTACCGGTTTACAACTTGTACCGATTTCATCAATTCAAGCTTACCACGAACATCTATGACAACATATAATGATCATATATGGCTCCAAACTGCATTATATTACCCCGAGTTATATCCCCTTATATTTCATGACTTTTCGACTTCGGGTCCCAAATCCTTCAAAATTTCTCAAGAAGCGTGGATATTAGCCTTCAATTTTGTAATTTTTGACTGTTTTCTGCCCGAAAATAAAAATTTCTGAAATGTTTACCATGATCCCTAATACCGTCCTGGAGTCCCATTGGGTGGGTGAAACCATGTAATTTTCCTTTAAACGACCAATTTACTAGTTTACAACTTGCACTGATTTCATTAACTCAAGCCTACCACGAACATTTATGACAACAAATAATGATCATATATGGTTCCAAACGGCATTATATGACTTCGAGATGTATCCCCTAAAAATTTCAAGACTTTTTCAACACCGGGCCGTGAAACCTCAAAAATTTCCCAAAAAGGGTGGATATTAGTCTTTGATTTTGGAATTTTTTGACTTTTTTATGCCCGGAAATAAAATTTGCCGAAATGTTTACCATGGTCCCTATATCCTCCGGGAGTCCAATTGGGTTGGTGGAAACCATCCAATTTTCCTTTAAACGGCCAATTTACCGGTTTACAACTTGCACGGATTTCATTAACTCAAGCATACTACGAACATTTATGACAACATATAATGATCATATATGGTTCCAAACGACATTATATGACCTCGAGATATATCCCCTAAAATATCAAGACTTTTCTACACTTGGCCCCAAAATCTCCAAAAATTTTCAAAAAGCGTGGAAAATAATGCCTTTAATTTTGTAATTTTTTAACTTTTTTTCGCCCGGAAATGAAAATTGCCGAAATGTTTACCTTGGTCCATAATAACCTGTGGGAGTCCAATTGGGTGGGTGGAACCATCCAATTTGCCTTTCAACGATCAATTTACCGGTTTACAACTTGCGCCGATTTCATTTATTCAAGCCTACCACGAACATTTATGACAACAAATAATGATCATATATGGTTCCAAACGGCATTTTATGACCCCGATATGTATCCCATAGAATTTTAAGACTTTTCGACACTGGGTCCCGAAACCTCCAAAATTTCTCAATAAGCCTTCAATTTTGGAATTTTTTGACTTTTTTTTTGCCCTGAAATAAAATTTGCCGAAATTTTTACCGTGGTCCTTAATATCCTATGGGAGTCCAATTGGGTTTGTGGAACCATACAATTTGTTGTTAAACGGACAATTTACCGATTTACAACTTGCACAGATATACCGGTTTACAACGGCTAATTTAATTAACTTGCACTACTGAACCCGACTTGAACCGAAATTGACCCTAACCCATTTTAACCCGTCAAAAACCCAACTTGTTACTAACCTGACCTGAATTCAACCTGACACGTTCCTAACCCGACCCGAAATCAACCCGACTTGTTATTGACCTGACCCAAATTCACCCGACTTCTTATTGACCCTACTCGAATTTTACAGCACCTATTACTTACCCGACCCAAAAATTCAACCTGATCTGTTACTAACCCGACTCGAAATTAACACGACTTGTTATTGACCCGACCTAAATTTCAACCCAAATTGTTCCTGACCCAATTTCAAATAACCTTAAATGCAATTTAGACCACCTTATTATTATTGATCAAAGAATTTTGTCTAGGGAAACTAAGTCGGTCCAGACCAGCAAAAGAAAGGAGCATCATCCTCAAATTTAAGAGTTAAATATAGTATATATTTTTTGTATGGTCAAAAGAGATAATTATCTTCCTAAATTATAGACTATAGTTCCCTAGTATATTGTCATATATATTATAGTCAAAGGAAATAATTAGCTTGATAAAAATGATAATTATATTTATAGTTAGTTGAACCCGAATATGACCTCACTTGGAAATGACCCGATCTGATTGTAACCTGCAAATTATTGACTTGAACATTACCCGACTTAAATCCGAGAATGACCCGACTCGGAAATGACCCAACCTGATTATAACCCGCAAATTATTGACTTGAACCGAACCCGAATTGAACTCGAGAATGACACGACTTGAAAATGACCCGACTTGATTATAATCCGCAAATTATTAACTTGAACCAAACCCGACTCAAACCCGAGAATGACCCGACCTGATTCTAACCCGCAAATTATTGACTTGAACCGAACCCGACTCGAACCCGAGAATTACCCTAACCTATTTTAACCTGTTTTAACCCGAATTAAACCCGATCTACTGTTCACCTGACCTGAATGTAACTCAACCTGTTATTATCCCGACCTAAATCGGACGCAAACCCGATAAGAAGTATGACCCGACGTGACCCGACTTAAGCATGACCCAACCCAAACCCAACCCGCATAGGTTATGGGATTAATCTGAATTGATTCGACCCAAGTTGACCCGACTTACTCTTACCCGACCCAAACCCGACCCGTTTATCCGAATTGACAGCTCAAATTGCAAGTAATGATGGTATAATTTCATGTTTTATCGTCAATAATAATAACAATAATAATAAATCATGTCCAATATTCAATTCAATGTTTTGAAATTAAAATATATATGCATAAAAAATAAAGGAAAAAACAAAATGTATATTGGCTGGTGGTTTTCGCGATTTGGCTGGCGGTGGGGATTAGGGGGTTTAGGCGGTGGCGGTGGCGGTGGCGGTGGTCAGAATTTTTAGTTGTTTGTTTTTTTTGTTATTAATTGTTTTAGCCAATTCACGTGTGACACGTGTCACATAAAAAAATAAAAACAAAATTAACCCATTCAACTGGTCACCGGTTTTTAGGATTGAAGAAAAAGAACTACCTCCAAAGTTCGGATTTATTCGAGAATAATCTATATTTGGAATTATTCTACCAAAATCGATGAAAGTTGGGATTATTATTTCTAATTTTTCCAAAAACATATTAAAATATATAAAATTTGTTGGCCATCAAGTTTCACGAGTCAAGGATTTTATATGGAGTATAATTATCAATCATTTTGTAATAATTATGATGGACTGGTAGATATGATTTGTCGGTTGGACGTAGAGATTATAACTTGTCATGTAAAGATTTTAAGTAATACATCAATACATACATAACTAGCTAGTGTTCATTTCTAGAACTCCTCTAATCTCTCCCCTTCATATTCTTCATTAAAAATCTTATTCAATAATGTCCAAACATGCATACGTGACCTTCTTGGCGGGTGCCCAAGGTGGTTACGTGAAGGGGGTTGTAGGCGTAGTGAAGGGTCTAAGGAAGGTTAAGACAGCCTATCCGTCGTTGGTTGTGGCAGTGCTTCCTGACGTACCAGAGGAGGACCGCCGGTTGTTAATAGCTCAAGGCTGTGTTATTAGGGAGGTTCAACCGCTCTACCCGCCGGAGGGTGACAAGAAACATATGGACTTCGCTCGTGCCTATTTTGTCATCAACTATGCCAAGCTCCGTGTTTGGGAGGTAATACAAGTATACAACTATATATTATAGAGTAGTATAAAAGTTTGTCATGTGTGTCTTGGATATACTACCTCCGTTACATATTATTTGCAACAATTTAACATAAAGTAGAGAGGAAAAATGTCTAATCGAAGCAAATAATATGTAACGGATGTAGTATATATTTTTATGATGAATTCTAAACAATTATTTGATAAATTATTATCATAGAAATTGGATTTACATTCAAATGATAGTTTAAGAGTTGATCATGCTATTAATCTATATTGTGCACAATTTACATTATACTCAAGGAGGAAATACATTGAGGCTTATAGGGTTCCTCCCTAATTTTATTGTATTTTGAGTTGCGAATGTAGTATAAAGATTATATTTGCTAAACATGAGTACAAAAAGTTGTGTCACAATAATTAAGTTGTTACTCGTATATTTTTTTTAGTAGAAATAGGTTTAGACCATTTTAAAAAAAATTCAAAATCCATCACTAGACTTTATTAGTACGTGTACATTTAGCACCAAGTTGTACTGAATATATTTGTTATATGCAGTTTGTGGAGTATGAGAAGATGATATTCATAGATGCAGACATGCAAGTAAATGAGAACATTGACCACTTGTTTGATCTACCAAATGGGTATTTCTATTCAGTTTTGGACTGTTTTTGTGACCCTTCTTGGGGAATGACCCCTCAATTTAAGATTGGTTACTGCCAGCACTCTCCGGAGAAGGTTGAGTGGCCGACCTCCGATCTCGGACCACCTCCTCCCCTCTACTTCAACTCCGGCTTCTTCGTCTTTGAGCCCAATGTTCTGACTTACCTTGACATGCTTAATACATTCCAAGAGACTCCTCCCACTTGCTTTGCTGAGCAGGTATTATTAGACTAGAAAAATTTTGTCCGTAACTAAAATATATGTTCCTTGAATCTTAAATCATGCTCAAAAATAATTTGGAATGGAAATTTATTATATGATCCAGGACTTCTTGAACAAATACTTGAGGGACAAGTTCAAACCACTACCAAAAGAGTACAACATGGTGATGCCCATGTTGTGGTGGCATCCAGACAAGGTGGAGTTGAGCAAGGTGAAGGTGATGCACTATTGCGCGACTGGGTCGAAGCCATGGAGGTACACTGGGAAGGAAGAGAACATGGACAGAGAAGACGTAAAAATGCTGGTGAATAAGTGGTGGGATATGTATAATGACCCTTCTTTGGACTACATCAATTATTCCTCGACTCAATTTCTCACTGAACCTGTTGTTGATTATCCAATAAAGACGTTTGTCTAAGGTCATTTCACAAGGCAAAGATCCAAAAAGTAGCATACAACGAGGTATAAACTATGTATCATGTCAAGCTACAAAAGTATGCACTCTGTATGTTGAATACACAATATCAAAGTACCGTATCAAGTATAGTTTAATTACAAGTATATTATACGAAGTAAACTAATTACGAGAAGATTAGATAAAGTGAAATGGACTAGAAAACTGGAAATTAAAGATACACTGAATATGCATGAGAACAAGTCAGAGTTTCAAAAACATTCAAACATAATTGAATTTCAATCACCAGCATTTTACCAAAAATCAAAGCTCAAAAACATCATTTAGCTATTGTTAAGACAATATCCAGTACCTGTACCACACATGGGATCTATGTCTAAGACGATGGTTCACAAGCATCTACGAAGTTTGAGCATGCCGGCCATCCAAGTATCCAACGTTGCTTTACAACTAACTTGGAGGCTTAAGTATCCGGTCAGCTATATGCATTTTCAACCAATATACTGAGAAACTATCAGTGAGAACATAGAATACTCCAGCAAGTGAAAAGTTAGCACAATGCTCCAGTTCCAACAGCTGCCAGTAACATTTCTTCTACTTGTCAAAGGACCGTGTTTTGAATACCTCCGCACACCTGCAAGCTGCAATGCACATTCGTTTCAACATAAAAATCAGCTCGAAATAGCAAGCATTTGGCTAAAAATAACATATAATCCAAAGATTCAGAAGTGCAATAGTTTCATGTGAAATTAAGTAGTTGCACATTAGATAATAGATATAGACTCAAAAATCATCCCTTAGGAAACCAAAGCCTTCTAAATACAAGAACTCTGACACCCCCCCCCCCAAAAAAAAAAAAACAAAAAAAAAAAAAAAAAACTCGAGTAAATTAAAGTAAAATAATTCTACTCCGTATTTTATGTTATCAATTGTTTTTTGACTGCATTAAATTAGACCAAAATCAATACAGTTTCATAGATCCGACAATAATATTTTAGATTATATAATCTGGCTCATAATTTTCTCCAAAAGCTGAGCTCAGATCCAGTGTTTAATACAGTTGACAGAAAAATACTTAAAAAAAAAAAAACTAAACTTTCCTCACATAACAAAGTGATAAACCCAATTTTTTTCAATCAACATGATGCTTTACGCACGTACTGAGGTTTAACACTAATTCACCAAATTTATTACATAATCACGCAAAAATAAGTAAAATGTCAATTTTGATTCAATCAATATTTATTAGCACTGTTGACCTCATAAGTGAAGGAAGCAAACACAAGCATAAAGGTGGTAAATAATCCCTTTTGTTCAAACTCCAATCATTTTTATTAATCACAAGGTTTGGTTACACTAAAGTACTAAACTAACCCATATAGAATTATTACTCTAAAATACAACTTCAACAGTACACATGATACTTGAACCTTTTTTTCCAAGAAAATTGTTGCTCACCGGAAACGATATATTCCAGAATATCATACAGGAAGCTATAATATTGACCTATTGCAATTTATAGGTTCTTTTATGGGGTTGAATACTATATCAAAAGATACATGGAATGCATATAGCCATTAATACTGAAGCTACTTAAGACTCTGCACCATTAACACATCCTCTTAACAGAAACAATTAAATCAGGATGACATATACAGGAAAAGCCAAAAAGGTTAATTTGATAAATCAAACTAGTAGCATAACCCGGTGGTAAATAACATCACTGGTGGCTTAATCTGACAACCTTTCCCTCTATGCAATGGTGAAGCAGAAGTAACATCATGGCGAAGGATTCTAATGAAAAGATAAATATATCTAGATCAAGGGAGGAAGCAAAAGCTTTAAAGTTAAATGCATTTGCATGCACCTAAATCATCATTTTTAAACATTTTAACCAAGGTGTTGAATCTCTCTTACAATCGTAAGAGGATCAGTTTTCACAATAGAGTCACTTGGAATTAACACTGTTCACAAGAATAGCTGCAGGTAGCAGGACTGTATAGTATCTTTCTGGAATTATATTAGATTTTCAAGCCTTCAAAAGCTTATATAGACTGAGCTACTGGCCAACTGCTACCAATTTAAGATAATATAAACAGGAAGGTGGTTGCAAAATCATTTAGTAAAAGAATTGAAAAGACCAAAACATCAACCTGTCATGTTTTAGTTTTATTTAAGCTAATCAATGATAACAAGATTACAGGAAATCAAAGGTAAGTCCAACCACCAAGATTTAGAGAATGAATGGGAATGGTAAATGACTAAATGCTTCATAAATTGATAATATCAACTGTCTTTAGTTCTAAACTTCTAATACGAAGTACTCGGTAAGCAAATACTGAAATTTCAACTTATGGTAAAATATGCTTCTATGTTAGAAAGGAAAAGAGTTACTCATCCCTGTATCAACTATAAATAATTTACAGCAACTTCCCTAAGATTGTCAACAAACCATAGTAACCATCTTCAATGAAATTCTAGCAAATGTAACATTGATCAAGAAATCAGAGGTCCACATTAAAAAAAAGGACATGTATGTGACACACAGAACATAATGAGCCACAAACCTTAATCTCGGGGTCTACCCACCCCCCTCCCCCATTTATGAAATAAATACAAGTTTATTTCTACTCATTGTTAAGAAACAAACTATGTCTTGCAGTCAAACCTACCAAATTACAAGGAAATGACGTTGACAATATTAATAGATGTTTTAGTGGAAATTCTAAAGTTTAAAGACACCCATTACCTTATGCGCTGACTTGCAGCTAGCAGCATTGGACCTTGACGTCATCTTTAACGATTCAACTGTAGAGCCGGTCAGCTGAGCATAAACTTCATGGACTTCCTCAAAAGGCAAAACAAACTTTTTCAAGAAGTTAGCCTCAGTCAAGACAGAAGCACCAGAAAGACGGTAATGTTTTTTTATCAGCCTTTTCTCCCTCAAAACCTGTAAGACTCGGTGTCTAGGCAATAACCTCTTCTCTATGCTACAAGAGAATAACGACTGAAAACCTGGGCAAGCCGGTTTATAGCCCAGCTGGTTTATCAGAAAATCCAATTTTTCCTTAATTATTTCCTCTTTCAATGTCAAGCACAAAGGATGTCGCCTAATCAAATCCTTGACATTAGATTGGGTCCATCCAAAGCTCTTAAAAATTTCACATTTATCGTCAATATTCTTATCACTAGAAACAGCAACAGATTGTATTCCATAGAAAAACATCTTAGAATCTCGAGGAATCCCCAACTTTTTTTCAACCCTAATCAAGTTTTTTCAAAACAAGTCTGTGTTCATACTGAAAACACCAGGCTGATTAATAATGTATTTCTGGATTTTTCTGCCAGAAATTCCACAATAACTTTGCAACAACTCAGCATTGGGAATCAAATAATAAGACGCTTTGTCAAATTGAAGTCAACCCAATCATTTCATGACTCAAACAACACTCTGATCACTACCCAAAATAGTCCTAAAAGCATCTATTGCAGGACCCAAACGTTGGCGCAACATTGAAGGATTCCATACAACAGTTTGAACAAGATCAGACCCAGATAAACCCAGATCATTAAGAAGCTTAATTTTGGGTTTTAGGGTTTTACTAACCCCAGAAACTAAAATCAGGGGTTCATGACATACAATTATCCTAATATCAGATTGCTGAAAACCAATTTGCGTTAAGAATTGAACAACAGAATTAGCATTTTTCACCCAATTCGCCTGTCCACTTTCCCGCCGACTTGCTAGTGTAGCGGAAGTAGAGAGAGATTGGTCGTTGGAAAAACCCAGTTATCAACCAAGAAATTCGCAAATGAAGAAGATGAAGAAGTAGTATTACCTTCATTTGATGAAGAAGATGTTGAAATGCGTCGAAAACCAGGCATGAAGAAGTAGTTGTAGAGGCATCGGAAGCCATTGACACTGCCATTGGACTTGGAGTTGTACCAAATTTTCATCTTTTTGTTTTTCAAGCATTTCGTAAGAAATATTACACGCAACTTGTTTCTTTTCTTGTAAAAACTAGATTCACCTCTACTTTAGTGAGCAAACCGGATATCGGATTAAAATTTTAAGACCCGATTAGTAATTATTTGTGATTGGGTCTTACAATTATAAGTCAAAATTGAAATCGGTTCAAACGGACCTAATATTAAGGAATTGAAATTGGGACGTTGAGACCAGTTTTGATAACATTATAAGTGGTGTGTTCTCTTCAGCTTAATTTCAGTTCAATTCAGTTTCTAATTTCTTTCTCTTACAAACAATTTAGTTTCCCTAATTTCTTTTGATTGATTCAATAGTTAATCATTGTTTTGCTCTATAAAGATGAAGTATACTGTATACACTGTATCATGCCAAGCTATAAAGGACGGAGTATGTACCTGAATGTTGAATACACAATATTTGAGATCAATCTTAAATACAAGGGATAGATTGATTACGAGTATATTATATCAAAATAAATTTCAATAAGATAATCAGCTTGAAAGATGTTTTGGGTAATTGGGTATCGGATCCGGCTGGAATCTCGCAGATGTTAACTGATCATTTCTCGAACCTTTACCAATGTCAAGCCCCTTCTGTTGAAACTCCGGTCCTAGATTGGGAAGATTTAAAACTTCCCACTCTTTCTTACTCTGCTTGTCAGAAGCTTATGTTACCTTTTTCGGATATGGATATCAAAGATGCTATGTTTCATATTGGTACTGACAAATCTCCAGGTCCGGATGGGTATACTGCAGCCTTTTTTAAGACCCATTGGTCACTGGTTGGTGCCTCGGTGACAGAGGCCATTCAGTTCTTTTTTGCCCGTGGTTATCTTCTTAAGGAATAGAACTGTACCTTTTTTATTCTACTACCTAAGGTGGATCACCCAGAGGAGCCTTCTCAGTTCCGTCCGATTGGTCTCTGCAATGTTCTTTATAAATGTATTGTTAAATGTTTAACGAATCGCCTTCGGAGATTTCTGCCTTCTTTGATTTCAAGATGTCAGAGTGCCTTTGTTCCTGGTCTCTACAATAGTCTGCTTGCTCATGAACTTCTTTCCTATATGAATTCCTCGGCTTCTAAACTCTGTTCAGCGGCACTTAAGTTGGACATGAATAAGGCTTATGATAGGGTTAATTGGGAATTCTTGTGGCAAGTTTTAAGAGCTTTTGGTTTTCCTCCATATTGGGTTCATATAATTCAACAATGTGTTACAACGGTTTCCTACCAGGTCTTGGTTAATGGTTGTCCGTCAAAGACTTTATTTCCTCGTTGCGGCCTCAGACAGGGGGACCCTCTTTCCCCGTATCTTTTTGTTCTTTGTATGGAGATTTTTTCTTTAATGATTAGTCGTGCTGAGGCTTCTAGGTTAATTCGAGGACTTCAGATTTCCCGTAAGGCCCCGCCTGTTTCTCATCTCTTCTTTGCTGATGATGCCTTGCTTTTCTTCCGAGTTTCACCTTTTGCTTGCAAAAACTTGATGGCAGTCATTAATAAATTTTGCTCTGTCTCGGGCCAAATGGTTAATCTCCAAAAATCGTTTGTGAAGTTCAGTTCTAATACTCCATCAGATTATAGGGATTATTTGGCTTATGCGTTGCGTATGGAATCTCGAAGCTCCTTAGGTACTTATCTGGGTATGCTAGTTGATATGGGTAGGGGGAAGTCAGGTTTTCCAGCCTATGGTTGATAAACTTGTTCAGCGCCTTTCATCCTTTGCTTCTTTGCACCTTTCAGCGGCTGCGAAGTTGGTTATTATCAATTCTATATGTGTCGCTTTCTTCAACCATATCCTCTCGGTATTTAAAGTGCCTTCTACGGTTTGTAATCGGCTTGATAATCTCCTAGCTCGTTTTTGGCGGCGCTCTTCTCTTTCCTCTAAAGGAGTAGCGTTATCTCCTTCTTCTGCTCTTTATTTGCCTCGAGGGCTGGGAGGTTTGGTTATTCGGAAATTTAGTTGTTTTAATGCTGCTCTCCTTGCTAAGCAGTCTTGGCGGCTTATGCATAATCCTCAACTTCTTGTTTCCAAGGTGTATCGGGCAAAGTATCCGTCTTTGCTGGCTTCTCATGGTACTGCCAACACGGTCAGACCTTCTTGGGGTTGTCGTAGTGTGTTACAGGGTTTTAAAACCCTTTGTCATGGTTTGGTGTGGAAGGTGGGGTCTGGTACCAATATTAGTATTCTTGATGATAGTTGGGTACCTGGGGTTCAGGTTCAATTTAAGGATTATGTGAACAGGATGGGTGCCCTATCCTTTGTTTCTGATCTAATTAATGTGCGTTCAAACGCATGCAAAACGAATATGATTCATCGGTTGTTTCCTCCTCGTACAACTGGCTTTATTTTGGGCCTTGAACTGCCTAAGGAAAGAATTGATGATTTTGTTTATTGGAAATTTACCACGGATGGGATGTTCTCCACGAAGACTGCGTATGTGTCCTCCTTGTGTTATGAGAATGGTGATCAGCGATATGATCACCTTTAGTTCTTGACTCAAGTTGGTGGAGGAATTTTTGGGCTTCATCTTTACTTCCGAAGTGGAAAATGTTTGCTTGGAAGATTATCCATAATGCGTTACCTTCTGCTTCGTTGCTTGCTCGGAAGGGTTTACCAGGGGATTTCATATGTGGGTTATGTCATCAGGATGCAGAGACTCTTTCTCATCTTTTCCGAGATTGTCCTTTTACTTGGAGTTTATGGGAGAACCGACCGGCCTTGAATATGTCCCAAGATTAGCCTTTTGAAGAGTGGTTTCCTGAGGTTCTTTATAGGTTTCTTCATGATAAGGATTGGTTGATGCTAGATCGGTTTTTTAGTTTGTTATGGGCCCTCTGGCTTACTCGGAACTCTGTGCGTTTTCGTTCTGCGGTTTATTCTCCTGAATCTATTATGGATCTAGCTTCTAGTTGGGTGGACAGGTGTTCCGAGGCTAGGTCGTTCAGATATGATATTATGCCTGCTTTTCCTCCTGGGTTTTCTTGTACTATATCTTCTGTAGTTCTTCGAGGGAATGCGTTGAATGCTTGCTCTGTCAGCCTTACTTTTGATGGGGCTTGGAAATCTGGCAGTCATAATGCGGGTAGTGGATGGGTATTCTTGGATCTGGCTTCTGATGTTCAACTCGGGGGTGAGGCGCAGTCTTGTAACTCTAATTCTGCGTTACAGTCTGAATTGATGGCTTGTTTGTTTGCTTTACGCCAATCCAGGCAGCGTGGGTACTCCTCTTTACAGATTCTTACGAATTGTTCTTCGGTGGTGGATCTACTTCGGTCTCCGTTTCCCAAGGATATTTCTGTTCGTTGGATTCAGCAGGAGATTTTGGAAATTATTAGTGCTTTGGATGTGTGTCATATTCAAAAAGTTCCAAGGTCTACGGTTGATCAAGCTCACTGTTTGGCAGGGATGGCACGTCGGCGTGATTTACTTTGTTTCCGTTTTTAGTTTGTTTGTTGTTTGTTTGTGAGTTCTTTTGTAAAAAAATAAATAAATAAATAAATTTCAATTACTTGAAGATTAGAACAAGTGGTGTGGGCTAGAAAATTGGAAAATAAATATGCACTAAATGTGCCTGATTCAAATACAATCTCAAACGAGAATTGAGTGTCAATCACCAGCATTTCATATAAAATTAAAGCTCAATAACATCATAAAGCTATTGTTATGTCAATCTCCTATATATGGGATGATAATTCACAAGCATCTATGAAGTTTGAGCATGCTGGCCATCCAACAACGCTTCGCTACTACCTTGGCAGCTAAATATTTACAAGTCAGCTATTTGCATCAACCAATACAGACAGAAACTATCAATGGGAACATACAATGATACACAATGCTCCAGTTCCAACAGCTGCTAGTTAGACTTCTGCTAGTCAAAGGACCATCTTCAGAAGAACAACTCAGCACATCTGCAATGCACATTCATTTCAACAAGGAAATCAACACGAAATAGCTTGTACTTTCCTAAGAAGACTTTTCAGAGGTTCTGAAGACCATATAAACCAAAGATTCAGAGTGCAAAAGGTTCTTGTGAAATTTAAGTTTTTGTACAATAATAATGGATAAAGACTCAAAATCATCCCTTGGGGAATCAAGATCTTTGAGCCTATTATATACAAGAACTTTGACAAAAGAAAGCTACTCCAAACACATTACTGCAAAATAATCCTACTTGTAAGACCTTGTATTACTTAAGAGTACAGTATTACTCATAAGAGAAGGAAGTAAACACGAGCATAAAGGAAGGAAACAAACCCTTATGTTCAAATTCCAACAATTTTATTAAACACAAGGCTTAATTACACTAAACTAACCCACACAAAATTGTTACTCTGAAAAATAATACTACCACAACACCTAAGGAAGGAACTGGAACTCTGCTGCAGGTGATATCGAATATAGTCCCTCGGCAGAAACAATAAATTCCTAAACACCATACAGGAAGCTATAATATTGATTTTCTGCAATTTATGGGTGCTTTTGTGGGGTTAAATACTACTTATATATCAGAAGATACATGCAAAGACGTATAGGCATCAATACTAAAGCTAGCTTAAAACTGCACCATTATTAACGCATCATCACATCCTCTTTAAAAGACACATTTTTCAGAAAGGTATAAACAGGTAAAGGGTATGCAACGGACTGCGTGACTATGGCAATAATTCTAGGGAATAATTAGAGGTCAAGACAGAAGGTTGATTGATTGATGATTGATAATGGTTACTACGAATTAGTGACTTTAGGCCACAAGTCTCCAAAGCTTAAAGCTTACAACTTTTTTGAATGAATCCTCTCTTTCCTAGGCTTCCCATATATATAGGACTATTCTAACTAGTGATGTGGCAGCTAGCTTTAATTACTACAATTACTACATTCCGTCTTTTACCCAAAAGCACAAACAACAATCTCAGACATAATTAAGACACCAACGTTGTTGTGGGTGGAGAGTGCTCCTCTGTCCTTGCTGCTGCATTCCCCTCTGTTGCTGCTTCTGCCTCCTCTCCCCTCTGTTGTATTTGTCTCTTTCTCCTGTGATAGGTGTGCAGCAGTGGTGGTGTGGGTTGTCTCATTACATTACCCCCCCCCCCCAAAAGACCCACCTTGTCCTCAACGTGGAAGTCAGGGAACCGAAGGTTGATCGCATCCGCTTCCTCCCACGTGGCCTCCAAGTCTGGTATCCCCTTCCATTTGATCAATACCTCTCTAGCTCCTTCCTTTCCTCTTGCAAGACGAACCGCAATGACTGATTCGGGCTCTACTAGTAACTCCAGCTCTGGTGTTACTTGATTTGGAATGGAAGGGGAGCTGGGTAGATTCCCTATGGCCTGTTTCAGCTGTGACACATGGAAAACCGGATGAATACGGCACTGGCTAGGCAATTGCAGCTTGTATGCGACCCTTCCCACTCTTTGAATTACCTCATACGGGCCATAGTATCTGGCTGCTAACTTCTCGAAAGGCCGTTTAGCTAAGGACTTTTGGCGGTAAGGTTGGAGTTTGAGATACACATAGTCCCCCACGTTGAACTCTACCTCCCTTCTCTTGGAATCAGCCCCTTGCTTCATAACCTGCTGTGCCTTAATTAAATTAAGGCGTAACTCATCCAAAAACAGGTCCCTCTCTTGCAGCATCTCCTCTAAACTATCTACTGGAGTGTGTCCTACACCCACCCTCATCAGCCGTGGGGGGTCCCGACCATACAAGGCTCGAAATGGAGACATTTGTATGGACGAGTGGACTGCTGTGTTGTAAGAATATTCGGCCCAAGGGAGCCACCTTGCCCATGCCCTTGGCTGTTCCCCAGCAAAACAACGGAGGTAAGTCTCAAGGCCTTTGTTGACCACTTCCGTCTGACCATCCGTCTGGGGATGGTATGAAGTGCTTCTTCTCAATTCCGTGTCTTGTAACCTAAAGAGTTCACGCCAGAAAATGCTCAAGAAAATTCGATCTCTGTCCGAAACAATACTCCTTGGGAAACCGTGTAGCCTTCCTACCTCCCGGATAAAGTGATCCGCCACCATCGCCGCTGTGAAGGGGTGTTTGAGCCCAATAAAGTGAGCGTACTTGGTGAGGCGATCTACCACCACAAGGATTGTATCCACCCCCTTGGATCTTGGAAGCCCTTCGATAAAATCCATGGTAATGTCTTCCCAAACCGCTCCGGGAATGGGGAGTGGTTGTAATAGTCCAGCCGGGTTTTGTTGAGAGTGTTTGTTTTGTTGACAAAAGGCACACCCCCTCACATACTCTGCCACGTCTCGTCTCATCCCCTGCCAAAACCACTCCGCCGCCATTCGCAAATAAGTCTTGGATTCCCCCAAATGTCCTGCCTCCGGCGCATCATGATAATTCCGAAGTAGAGTCGCCTTAAATTTTGACGATCTGGGAATCACCAGCCTCCCTTTATAGAGGAGCTTCTGGTGTTCAATGATAAACCCAGAAATCTCTTTTCCCCCTTCTAATTCCTGCCTCACCCTTCGTAGCATCGCATCCCCTTCGATTTCTTTCTCCAATTCCCCCCAATCCACCGCATGAACAGTAAGCATGGAGCCCAATTCTGGTCCTACCTCACCTTGTCATGATAGCGCGTCAGCCACACGGTTAGCCACCCCGGGTTTATATTGTATCTCGAAATCAAACCCGATGAGCTTCCTAAGCCACCTTTGATACTCCATCCCCACTTCCCTTTGTTGGAGTATGTACCTTAGACTCTGCTGGTCGCTCCTCACTACAAATCGCCGGCCAAGAAGATAGTGTTTCCATTTTTGTACCAACAAGCACACCGCCATTATTTCTTTCTCATAGATCGATTTACTACGGTTTCCGGGTCCCAAAATCTTACTAAAGAAGGCGATGGGTCTGCCCTCTTGCATTAGCACTGCTCCGAGTCCGAAGCCCGAGGCGTCTGACTCCACCACGAACACCCTGGAAAAATTCGGCATGGCTAGTACCGGCGCAGAACACATAGCTTCCTTAAGTTTCTCGAAGGCTTCAGTAGCTTCAGGACTCCACTTGAAATTGTCCTTTTTAAGCTGATCCGTGAGTGGGTGGGCTATGGAAGCATAATGGGCTATGAACTTCCTATAGTAACCTGTAAGACCCAAGAAGCCCCTCAAGTCCCTCAAAGTCTTGGGTATGGGCCATTTGATCATGGGTGAGATCTTTTCCTGGTCCACGGCTACCCCTTGCTGAGAAATGATATGGCCCAAATAGGACACCTTTTTTTTTTCCAAACTCACACTTTTTGTAATTAGCAAATAACAGGTGGTTCTTGAGAGTTGACAGAACAACTTGCAAATGGTGGACATGCTCATCTGCACTATTACTATAAACGAGGATATCATCAAAAAATACAAGCACAAATTTGCGTAAATAGGGGCGAAATACCTCATTCATCAACGATTGAAATGTGGTCGGGGCATTCGTGAGGCCGAATGGCATCACTAGAAACTCATAGTGGCCTTCATGAGTACGGAACGCCGTCTTGTGAGTATCCTCCGGTCTCACCAAAATTTGATGGTAGCCGGCTTTGAGGTCAAGTTTAGAGTAAACTTGAGCTCCGTGTAACTCATCCAATAACTCGTCAATAACCTGTATCGGATATTTGTCCGGTACGGTTTCCTTGTTCAAGGCCCTATAATCCATACAAAAGCGCCATGAGCCGTCCTTGACTAAGAGGACCGGACTCGAAAAAGGGCTAGTAGAGGGGCGAATGATTCCGGCCGCGAGCATCTCCCTAATAAGCTTCTCAATCTCATCTTTTTGGAATTGTGGGTATCGGTAAGGCCATACACTTACGGGGTTGGACCCTTCTTTAAGAGTGATCTTATGCTCATGTCCTTTCTGGGGTGCAGTCCCACTGGGGCTTCAAACACTGCCGCATATTCCTCCAGCACCCCTTGTAAAAACTCCGGTACAGCCACTTCTGCTGGGCCCTTCTCACGGCCCTCCTCCTTCCCTTCCAACTGATACAGCTCTACCAACACTCCACCTTGTTCTCTCCTAAGTGTTTTTATCATGGATTTCAAGGTGACCCCGGTGCGTGCCAACGAAGGGTCCCCTTTGATTGTCAAAGTCTCCCCTCCTCTTTCAAAACTCATTTCTTGAGTTTTCCAATTTGTTAGAACTGAACCTAGCTTCTCTAACCATTGAACACCAAGGATGATGTCGGCGTTCCCAAGTTGGAGGGGCAAAAAGTCTTCGGTTATCTCAACCCCGTTCCCCAAACTCAACCTCACCCCGCAACATTGACCACGCCCTCGCACCGCCTCACCATTCCCCAGCGAAACTCCGAACGTGCTATCCCCTACAACCTGAATTTTAAGTCTTTCCACCACTTGAACGGAGATGAAATTGTGGGTTGCCCCCGGATCGATCATAATCACCACTTCTTGGCCCCCAATAGTTCCCACAAGTTTCATGGTTTTTGGATTTGATAGCCCCACAATCGAATTAATCGAAATCATCGCCGGAATTTCTCCTTCTCCTTCTTCTTGTGTTCCCATGGCCGCCAACTCCCCCTCCTCATCACCTCCTTCTCCTTCGTTTTCTTCTTCCACCAAAAGAACACTCAGCTCCCTTGCCTTACAAATGTGCCCAATTCCCCATCTCTCATCACATTTAAAGCACAACCCCTTTGCCCTCTTGTCTTGCAGCTCTCTCTCTGTTAATCGCCTCACTACCCCTGTAAATTTGGTGGAGTTCGAACTCACTCTACTCTGTGAGTGTGAAGTGGGCTGCGGATTAACTGACCCTGCTGAGCCTTGTGCTTGTGGAATGGACCTTTGTGAGGCAGCCTGGGAAGGGTTCGATTGGGCCGGCCCACTTCCACCGCTTAGTAAAGTGGAAGCTGGGTTTCTATTGAAATAAGAAAATGGGCCAGGCTTAATTACGGCCCCATTCATTTTCTTTTGCCCACTGACCCGGTTTCTTTCTTCAACCCGGGTAGCTAAATCCATAGCCTGCTCCAGAGTAACCGGATTTAGCATTCGAATTTCAGCCCTGATGTCCTCCTTTAACCCACTTACAAAGTGTCCTTTCATCAAACTCTCTAGCACATCCGTTAATGGGGCTGCCTTCTCGATGAATGCTCGCCGGTATTCGGCCACGGTGGTGGTGTGAGTGACGGCTAGCCACTGTTCATGGAGAGTACCTGAGTTTGTGGGCCTAAATTGTTCCAACACCCTCTCCTTCAACTCTTCCCAACTCCTCAAGGGCCGTCGGCGACTCTCCCATTGAAACCACCTGAGAGCATCGCCCTCCATCGAAACAACCGCCGCTTGTACCTTCTCGTGTTCCGACAACCGATAAAAATGAAAATATTGTTCCCCCCTTAGAATCCATCCGTCTGGATCTGTCCCTTGGAACAGAGGCATTTCTAGCTTCCGAAATTTCCAGTTACCCCTCCCTTCCTGCTGCTCCCGACTATCTCCTTCATCCTCCAGCCTGAACCTCCCTATACCAGCCCCTGTTCGCCCATTTCTAATTCTGCCGGCGTCGGAGAACTGGTCATCCCCCTCGCCCATGGGGTTCTTTCCCAGGTCCCTCACCCTATTCATCATTCCTCTCATCTCTTCAAAGAACTTCTCCTGGCCGCTCATTAAGAGGGATATTTTTCCATTTTGATCTTCTCTGAAGCGATTCAGCCTTCCCTCCATTCTCATGTTGGCATCTTCTATGGCCTCCTGATTCTTCCTCGCCTCCTCTTCCTGATTTTTGCTGAACTGTTCGGTGAGTGACCTTTGGAGGTTTTCCATACTTTCCGCAATTGTCCTGGCGACAATCTGTTGGATGGAGTTCTCGCCGCCATCCACCCTTGACGCTATTTCTGCAAGGTGCTCTTCTAACGTCTCAATTCGTTGAGTGTTTGTTCCGGTTGCCGGGGCCATGGCTGCTCTGATACCAATTGCAACGGACTGCGTGACTATGGCAATAATTCTAGGGAATAATTAGAGGTCAAGACAGAAGGTTGATTGATTGATGATTGATAATGGTTACTACGAATTAGTGACTTTAGGCCACAAGTCTCCAAAGCTTAAAGCTTACAACTTTTTTGAATGAATCCTCTATTTCCTAGGCTTCCCATATATATAGGACTATTCTAACTAGTGATGTGGCAGCTAGCTTTAATTACTACAATTACTACATTCCGTCTTTTACCCAAAAGCACAAACAACAATCTCAGACATAATTAAGACACCAACGTTGTTGTTGTGGGTGGAGAGTGCTCCTCTGTCCTTGCTGCTGCATTCCCCTCTGTTGCTGCTTCTGCCTCCTCTCCCCTCTGTTGTATTTGTCTCTTTCTCCTGTGATAGGTGTGCAGCAGTGGTGGTGTGGGTTGGCTCATTACAGGGTATTTTGGTATCGCATAACCAAATGGTTAAAAACATCACTGGTGGTTTATTTTGACCAGCATTTCCTCTAGGGCATGATGAAGGCAGAAGTAACATCATGGTGAAGGTTTCTACTGAAAAGATAAATATATCTAGATCAAGGGAGGAAGAAAAAGCTTTACAGTTGGATGCATTTGCATGCACCTATTAATAATCAGCATGCACCTATTAACACCTAGTTATATCTAGATCAAGGTGTTGAATCTCCCTCACAATCATAAGAGAATCAATTTTCTCAATAGTCACTTGGGAATTATTATTGTTCACAAGAGATGTTTTAGTAAGGAAATGAGTCATTCTACTAGCCACTATTGATTTTTCTCTGATTTCAGTACTCAAAAACATTGCACAAACCAGGGCAATTTCCATCTATAGGGAGGGAAAAAAAAATTCACACAAAAATATCAGATAAAGAAAATAACCAAACAAGATAGAACAAGGAAGCAGATGCAGGAAGGAGATGATGTGCAAGCAAACTCAGTCATTCAACAACTTGCTAGGGTTTTTTTCAAAGAACCTTTTTTTACAAGCAAAGGCTCAAAACCAAGATTATCTTTCACAAATTAGCCTGCTAGCATATATACAGAATAGAAACTAAGAACAAATAGGAGTTCATACCCTTGCTCAGATGTCGAAGGTTTCCCTGTTCTCTGGGGCCTAATTCCTTTGGAGCCCCAGAAATGCTTGATGATTGGATAGAGTGTGCAGACAGCAGAGCGAAACAAGCACGACAATTGTTATCTATAAGATCTCTCAACTTATCAAATATTGCAAACCTGAATATTTGTCCCAAACCAGTTGCTGGTCAATTGCCCCAATAATCCAGTAAATAGACATATCCCATGTGTGAAGGCTACGTAGAATAGAGACTAATTTACTGGAGTCAGAGACTTAGAGTAGACTAAAATTCTAAGAAACCCTATTCCTCAGCTCCAATTTAGAGCTTTGATGCAGGCATTTGCCTCTGCTTCCTAGACACTGTTAGAAATACTAAAAGTACCCAAGCATCATGCTCACTTCTCGTGCTGTAGTCTGCAGTCCACCCTGCACCACTCCTGTTTGTGCCTAATTTCCCATGAGCTATCAAACCTAATTATGCAATCTTTTTGTTCCGCAGAGCTCCCAAACATTACCTTTTTCTTAATGCTTGTGTGTTGCCATATTTTTGGGGCAAATGATACAAACTTCTTTTTTTGAGGGCATGATACAAACTTCTTCATTATTTATAAAAATGTGTAAATTATCAACAAAAAAATTTACAGAAAGGGACATGTATTGACGCCATTAGTTGAAAATAGGCTAATAACAACTGTCACTAGTTTTAACACTTCAACTTAGAGACTACAATTTCAACTTTCGATAATATAGGCTTCTATAAGATTAGTTTGGAAAAGAGTTACACATCCCTGTATCAACTATTAATAATTGACGCCAACTTTCCCAATGAAATTGTCATAACAGTCAACAAAGCAATGATCTACTAATAAAATTCTGGCATATGTAACATTGATCAAGAAATCAGAGGTTCACATAAAAGGGACAGCATGTATTCGAAACACCAAATCCCAAACCTATTAGTAAGAAACTCGGTATCTACCTCCCCCCCCCCCCCATATTATACATACAACTTAACATCTACTCATTGTTAAGCAACAAAGTAATGCTGTTGCAATTAAACCTTCCCAAAAATGTCTAACAATAAGTTAATAGCAACCTTACGGATTTGTTTCCAACATACATAAGTAATGACTGTTACACGAACAAGGAAAAGATACTGAGAGAATATTGATAGATATTATGAAAAAAAAAATCTAAAATTTAACAAGGCCTAATACCTTATGGCACTGACTTGCATCTAGCAGCATTAGAACGAACTCGAAGACATCTTCAGACTTCAGATTTGGCCTTTTACTCTTCCTGCAACGAGCGATTCAACTGTGGAGCCTGTAAGCTGAGCATACACTTCATGGATTTCCTCAAAAGGCAAAATAAACTTTTTCAAAAAGTTAGCCTCAGTCAAGATGGAGGCACTAGAAAGAAGGTGATGCTCTTTTATCAGCCCTTTCTCCTTCAAAACCTGTAAAACTCGGTATCTTGGCAATAACCTCTTCTCTATGCTGTAAGTGAAAAACGAAGCCTGGACTGCTAGGTAATGCGGCTTATAACCCAGCTGGTTTATCAAAAAATCCAATTTTCCCTTCAGCCTTTCCTCTGTTGATGTCAAGCACAATGGATTTCGCCTGATCAATTCCATGACATCAGATTGAGTCCATCCAAAGCTCTTAAAAATTTCACATTTATCGTCTATACTCTGATCACTTAATGCAGAAACAGATTGTATTCCATAAAGAAACATGACAGAATTTGGAGGAATTCCCAACTTTTTTTCAACCCTAGTCAAGATTTTTTGAAACAAATCTGTCTTCATACAGTAAAGACTAGGGTGCCGAATAATGTGTTTCTGAAATTTTTCACCAGAAATTCCACTATAACTTTGCAACAACTCAACATTCGGAATCAAATTATTAGCAGCTTTTCTAAATTGAATCCGATGCGATTTATTTATCGCCGAAACAACATTCTCATCACTACCCAGAACAGTCCTAAAAGCATGAATTGCAAGACCTAAACTTTGGCGCAATATCAAAGGATTTCTTACAATAACTTGAACAAGATCAGACCCAGATAAACCCAGATCATTAAGAAGCTTAATTTTGGGTTTTAGGGTTTGGCTAACCCTAGAAAGTAAAATCCGGGGTTCATGACATACAAGTTTCCTAATATCAGATTGCTGAAAACCAATTTGCTTAAGGAATTGAATGACAGATTCAGCATTTTCAGCCCAATTGAAATTATTAACCAGCTTCGTCCCACCATGTCTCCGCCGACTAGAGAGTGTAGCGGAAGTAGAGAGAGATTGGTGGTTAGAAAACCCCAGATTATCAACCAAGAAATTTGCAAATGAAGAAGAAGTATTACCTTCATTTGATGAAGAAGATGTTGAAATGCGTCGAAAACCAGGGAGGAAGAAGTAGTTGCAGATGCATCGGAAGCCATTGGAGCTAAACCCAAATTTCATCATTTCGTTTTCAAAATGAAGTCAATTAGGGGTAAATTCAAGTTTCTCTCGATAAATCTGTGAATATATCTCCTCTCACAATCTAATCATTTTATTTTATTTTTTAAATGATAAAAGTAAAATAATAAAGAGGCATAGAAATTCATGCATAAAGTTGTGAGAGGAGATAAACTAAAATTGTTAATCCCTGAGATTAATTGGGGCTCCCTCTTCAATTAGAATGCTTGACTTTCTCTTACTTACTAATTGACATATTGGACTTTCTCTTACTTACTAATTTTGATTAACAATGTACTGTATTAAAATACAAATTGACATGGAATAGTTTTTTCAAATAATATTAACGAAGCCACAAATTTTTAAAAAAATCGGATGTACAATAAATTATCATCTATTATAAAGATAGCATAATATGATTAAAAGTTACCTCTAAAATGAATAAAAGTTACCCTAATATGCATAAAAGTAACCCAATTCAAATAAAAATTATCTACGCTTTATTAGTAAAGAATCACATTTTAATCGACTAAAAATCAATTATTAGTGATTGAATGTAATTTAATTACCTCTATAACCTTTTCTTGTTATCTATTTATATAAAAATTGTATTATGTTTAAAGTTACCAAAGAAAAGCAAAAAGTTACCCTAAAATTAGCTAAAAGTTACCCTTATACTGCTCGATGTACACTGATGTACACTAAACCGGATGTATACAAAAGTTTTTGTAACATAGCTGTTCAAAAAAAAAAAATATTACTCGTAACATATATAGTAGTTTATTAAAAAAAAAAGTTTTCTTATATGGAGTGTTGAATTTCAAATTTCTTTAAAAAAAAAAAAAAAAAACCTTATACTATTTTGAAGTAGTATAAAAAAGAACTAATAATGTTAGGGTTCCGTATTTAAGATGTCTTACTTTTTACTAGGATTATGATTTGAACTTTGTTGTGCTGTGACAAACTCGATATTCATGATTTCATGTGCAATTAGGCCTTCTTAAGAGGTTTTTATTTTATTTTATTTTTTAACATGTGAGCTTTTACAATCTAGACTCATATTCAATTCAAGACTATGCTACTCGAAGCTTCCTAAGTTGTAACAATATCCTACATAATATAGTGTTCTATAAGACTATAATATACAAAGTTTCATAAGTTAGCCTAAAAATTAAAAATCAATTAAAAAATTGTAGAATATCCTACACAATATAGTGTTCTATAAGAGAGTGCACACACAAGACAAATGCAACATTGCGTTGATATGTTTTTTTTCCTTTACAATTGCATAAGCATAAGTGCATAACTATTCCTATTTCCAGTGGTTCTTGCCACATTTGGCCGACGAGCAAATCGGATTTTGACCTCGACCATCTTTAGATTGAGTTGGACCCATCTGTGAGTCATGTTCAGTTTCATGCTGATGCTTAAGCCTTAAGATGAGATCTGTCATTATTTTCCACATCAGATACTTCTTTTTTGCAGTCTCCCTTTCCTGTTCTGACTATAATTCTGTCAATTCCTCTTCCTCGTGAAGCGACATTTAATAATCATGCGGACAGTGCAAGTGCATCTTGATGTGTGCTTCCTCTTCCCTTTAGGTGATTGAATACACCCAACGCATAAATAAACCCAGGAGGGTGCCGTGGATACTTGGTGATAGCTGCAAACCTGCAACAGATGAAGTGCCTGGATCATTAATGTTATCTCCCTGATTGCTGAAGTAACTAGAGCATGAAGCCACAAGATTCCTGTTCTAGTGTCATTCTACTACCCACTAATGATTTTTCTTTAATTTCAATACTCAAAAACGTTGCACAAAACAGGTCATTTTCCATCTATAGGGGAGAAAAAAGAAAAGAAATTCTCTCCACAAAAACATCAGACAATAAGAAAATAAACAAACAAGATAGAATATCAAGGGAGCAGATGCAGGCAGGAGATGAAGTGCAACGCAAATGCAGACATTTTACATACTAATCACAATAATGAGTAAACTCGTCACCCAATAACTTGCTAGGGTTTTTTTTCAACTTTTTTTTTTCACCAGCAAAGGTTCAAAATAAACTTTCACAAATTAACCTGCTAACACAAACAGAAAAGAAACTAAGAGCAATAGGAAATCATATCCTTGCTCAGTTGTGGAAGGTTTCCATGTTCTCTGGGGCCAGATTCCTTTGGAGCCTTAAAAATGCTTGATGAGGGAGGATAGAGTATGCAGACAGGCAGACAGCAGCGCGAAACAAGCACGACAATTGTTGGCTATAAGATCTCTGTAAACTTTTAGAATATTGCAAACCCGAGTATTTGTCCCTAACCGGCTGCAGGTTGAGTTCCCCAATAATCCAGTGAACAAATCCCATGTGCAAGGGCTACGAGAATGGAGACTAAGTTACTGCAGTCAGACAATAGTAGACCAAAATACTAAGAAACCCCATTCCTTGGCTCCAATTTAGGGCTTTGATGCAGTCCTTTGCCTCTGCTTCCTAGGGACTGTTGGAACTTGGAAATACTAAAAGTGCCCAAGCATCATGCTCACTTCTCGTGCTGTAGTCTGCAGTCCATCTTCACCACTCTTGTTTGTGCCTATTTTCCCATGAGCTATCAAATCTAATTATGCAATTTTTTTTGTTCTGTAGAGCTCCCAAACATTACCTTACCGCTTTTTCTTCATGCTTGTGTGTTACCATATTTTTGGGGCAAATGATACAAACTTCTTCATTATTAGTAAAAATGTGAAAATTTTCAATTTTTTAAACAAAAAGAAAAAGTACTCTAACCAAGCCTTAACCCTCACAATTTTTTGATCTAGCCTTGTAAATGTGTTATGTACAAAGTATATATAGTATATACTATATATACTTTTTGCACTAGCATAAAGTTTTTTAATTAGCACTTAGCTGACACAAATTCATATTTGGCTGTTAATCTGTTATAGTAATATACAATGATGAAAATCAACAAGGAAAAGTATTAAAATAATCATAAAAGGGAGATTGGAATGATAAAACAATGTAAGCAGTCATCTACAAATTAAATAGTAACACTGAAAAGAAATACATAAGAAAAATTATGTCAAATCAAACAATCATATTGGAAAAATAAGTTCAATTCAGACCATATCAGAAAAAATTAGTTCAGATCAAATAACAAAAATCTACAAGACTCAAATCAAATATTCAACCAAGAGTCGATAAAGATCTGTAACAAATGCTCTGACCCCTAAGGATCGTGGCCTGGTGACTTATGTGAGAAGGAAGAAAGGTCAGCTAAGGAATGAGGAGCCAACCAATGATTAGTGCTCTGCCAAAGAATGAGGGCTGCCAAGGAATCAGTAGGACAGTCACCACCAAATCAGTGTCACAGCTACCACAACAACAACCACTTTTGTCTTGTTCTTTTCTTTTGTCAGGATGTGTATATAAACAAAGGGAGGGTAGGATTGGCGATTAGGCAAGATCATTGTAAAACCTAGAACTAGAGAGTGGTACCCTAAAGGTGCTAAACCAGAGATTAGTAGCCTAAAGCTACCCCTGTTTTTGTTACTTCATTTCCATTAATCAAAGAAGCTGCCAACTTTCCCCAAGAACTGATCTTTATTGCTTTCAATCTATTTCATTACAAGTAAATACCTGTTAGAGTGTTACAAGTGGTATCAGAGCGGCGATCCTGCACCTGCCGGTACCGGAAACCACCACCTTCCACTCTGCTTCCAAAAAAAAAAAAAAAAATGTTATCTCAGCAACACAAAGGTGCGACACTTTAAATGAACAAATGGCAGGGGTGCAGAATCAGCTAGCCACCCTGGAAGCGGCGATGAGAACGCAGGAAGAAACCCTCAAGAATTCCTTGGAAGAGGCCATTCAGAGGATGGATAATCATTTCAGCTTCTACGACAGCAGCAGGAGACTCAAACGGCGGCGAACACGAATACGCAAGCCTAGTTCTTCGAGGAGCTCAGAAACTTGGTGAACCAGAGGAACCAGGAGCAGGGGTATACTCAGGGAACACGCAACTGGAACAATCAGAATGGCGGTGGAGACCACCATTGGAGGCCGCGCAAGCTGGATATGCCCCTTTTTGAAGAAGCAGACCCTGACGGATGGATCCTTAAAGGCGAGAAGTATTTCACCCACTACCACCTCACGGATGATCAGAAACTCCAAGCGGCGGTGTCGGCTGGAGGGCGACGCCTTACGGTGGTTCCAATGGGAAAATAGGAGACAGCCGATACCAAGTTGGGAGAGCCTGAAAGCGCGTGTTTTGCGGCAGTTCTGGCAAACCCACGCCGGTAGCCTCCACGAACAATGGCTGGCTGCACGTTAGGAAACCACCGTGCTGGATTATCGCAAGAGGTTTATTGAGCTTTCAGCGCCATTAGAGGATGTACCCGAAACAATAATGATAGCTCATTTTATAAACGGGCTGAAAGAGGAGATTAAAGCTGATGTGAGATTGATGAATCCATTTAACCTAGAACAGGCTATGGAAGTCGCGGGTCGGGTTGAGGAAAGGAATCGGGTCGGAGGGTTAAAAAGAGCACCCACTTATTTCGGGGCGGGCAAATCCATTGCTAGCGGATCCGGATCCTCAGGAACCAAGCCTCCTGTTGGGCTGGGTCTAGCCCAAACATACGGAACCCCCTCACAACAAGCGTCGACTTTCAAAGGCTGGCCCAAGGCTCCCAACGAATCTCAAGCTTCAGTGAGTTTGCCTAGATCTACCGCATCTTCAACCGCCAAGTCCAGTGAACCTCGGCGACTCACGGACTTCGAGCATCAAGAACGCAAAGCCAAGGGGCTTTGTTTCAGGTGTGATGAGCGATGGAGCGTCGACCATCGCTGCATAAACAAGGAGATGAGCGTGCTCTTGCTCGGCGAAGTCGAAGACGCAGGGGCGGGGCCGTCCAAACCACCAGAGCTCGACTCAAATGACGAGGAGGTGGCGGCGGAAGCCACCTTCTGCTCGTTGGTGGGTCTATCGAGCCCACGCACCATGAAATTGGAAGGCAAGGTGGGCCCGAAACCTGTGGTGATTTTAGTGGACCCCGGAGCCACTCATAATTTTATCTCCGACGACCTAGTGACTGAGGTGGGAGTTCCGGTGGAGGGTGATCGAGAATTTGGGGTTTCCTTGGGAAATGGCGATGTAATTGTGGGCAAGGGGAGGTGTAAGGGGGTCAGGGTGGTTCTTAAGGGCGGGTTTGTGGTGGTGGATAATTTCCTACCCCTCAAACTTGGAAGTGCCGATTTGATCCTAGGCATAGAGTGGCTGGAAAAGCTCGGGTCAGTCACTCATAACTGGAAGACCCATATCATGAGCTTCACAGTGGGGGAGCAAAGGGTGACCTTGGTGGGTAACCCGGCTTTGGAACGCACTGATGCGGTTCCAAGGCATCAATATTGTTATTATAATTATTTTTATTGTTATTTTTAGTTTATTATTAGATGACCGAATTTATTAGGATATTTTTGTTAGTTTAATTCGGTTAGTATAAGATAAGCTTAACTTTAAAGATCATATTTGCAAAATATTATCTTTACAAGTTAGAGTTAGTTTCCTAGTTAGATTAGAATTTGTTTTACCGATTTTTAGGCTAATTATTTAGCTTATAAATACGTGATGGTGTTTAACGAAAAGTATGATTGATTGATTTGAAATTTATAAAGTTTTACGTAAGCTTGTGCTTGTGTATTCTTGGCCTAGTTTAGGTTTTAAGCTCGTGTTGCTTAGCGTTTCTTGACCGAGACTCAAGATTCCAAACCAATCAACTGCGATTGAAGGTTATATCCATCAAAATTCATATAACGCACTAAGGTGTCTCTTCGAACAATGATTCGAGCACTGCAGCATGAGGGCGGAGGGCTTTGGGTTGAAATCAACCAAGTCGAGGCCAAGTCCAGTGAGAGGAAGGAGAGCACACCAACCACCTTGCTGCCAGAATGGTTGGAGGAAGTTATGGGGCAGTTTCTGGAAGTTTTCACCGAGCCTAAAGGGCTGCCACCCAAGAGAGGCCACGAGCATGCGATCATCTTGAAGGAAGGGAGTGATCCGGTGAGCGTAAGGCCCTATCGGTACCCCCAATTTCAGAAGGATGAAATTGAAAAGATGATAAGGGAGATATTGGCGGCCGGAATCATTAACCTTCAGTTAGTCCATTTTCGAGCCCGGTCTTGTTGGTGAGGAAGAAGGACGGATCGTGGCGATTTTGTGTTGATTATCGTGCCTTAAACCGCGAAACCATTCCCGATAAATATCCCATCCCCATCATAGATGAGCATTTAGATGAACTTCACGGGGCGGCCATTTTCTCTAAGCTCGACCTCAAGTCGGGGTACCACCAAATTCTAGTGAGGGAGGAGGACACACACAAGACGGCCTTTCGGACCCACGAGGGTCACTACGAGTTTTTGGTGATGCCCTTTGGGCTCACTAACGCACCCGCCACCTTCCAAGCCTTGATGAATGAGGTTTTTAGGCCATATTTGCGGAGGTTTGTACTAGTCTTCTTCGATGATATCTTGATTTATAGCCCCAACATGAAGAGTCACCGAGAGCACATGAAGATAGTGTTGACTTTGCTCAAGGAGCATAGTTTGGTGGTGAACTTCAAGAAGTGTGAGTTCGGGCAGCTGCAAGTGGCTTACTTGGGTCACGTAGTGTCCAAGAATGGGGTAGCCGTGGATATGGAGAAAGTCAAGGCTATGGTTGAGTGGCCTACGCCTAAAAATTTGAAGGAGTTGCGAGGTTTTTTGGGGTTAACTGGGTACTACCGCAAATTCATCAAGGGGTATGCCCAAATAGCTAGACCATTGACCGAGCAATTGAAGAGAGATAGTTTTGGGTGGACACCCGAAGCTACTAAAGCCTTGGAGCAGCTCTAAGGCTGCCATGGTGGCTGCCCCGGTGTTGGGATGCCCAATTTCAGCAAGCTCTTCGTGGTGGAGGAGGCCTCGGGCTATGGCCTAGGTGCAGTGTTAATGCAAGATTCGAAGCCCATAGCGTTTTACAGCAAGTTGTTAGGGCCCAAATCACAAGCCAAAGCCACGTATGAGAAAGAATTGATGGCAATTTGTCTTGCCATCGTCAAGTGGCGACACTATTTGTTGGGCCGTCACTTTGTGGTTAGGACGGATCAACAAAGCTTCAAATACTTGATGGAGCAACGTGAAGTAGGAGGGGACTATCAAAAATGGGTGCGCAAATTGTTGGGGTTTGACTTCGAAATTCAATTCAAACCGGGGGCTAGTAATAGAGTGGCGGATGCACTCTCTAGGAGAGGGGGACCGGAGCATGAGTTGGCTGCCATGACTTTCACACAAGGGATCAAGTGGGATGAGCTAGAGAGGGAAGTTGAAGCGGATAGCTTGCTGGGAAAGATAGCAGCAACCCTTAAACAAGGGGAAGAGAAGTATGTGGGGTATACATTGGAAGAGGGGAGGCTATTGTTCAAGGGAAGAGTGGTAATACCTAAGTCGTCAACCTTAATTCCTAAGCTATTGAGGGAGTATCATGACAGCCCCATTGGCGGGCACCAAGGTGAAACAAAAACCTATCAAAGAGTGGCGGCGGAATGGTATTGGATTGGAATGAGAAAGGATGTAGGGGAACATGTTAGGCAATGCTCCATTTGCCAACAATCCAAACATTCTCAATTGCACCCCGCGGGTTTACTTCAACCCCTTCCCATACCCAAAGCAATTTGGGAAGAAATTTCAATGGATTTTATCGAAGGCCTTCCCAACTCAAAGGGGATGGATTCCATTTTGGTGGTAGTAGATCGGCTCTCCAAGTACGCGCATTTTGTGGGGTTGAAGCACCCATATAGTGCAGCGACGGTAGCCACTACCTTTGTGAAGGAGATTGTAAGGTTACATGGGTTCCCAACCTCAATCGTGTCGAACCGAGATCGTATTTTTATGAGTATATTTTGGAGGGAACTATTCAAGTTGCAAGGCACCGACCTCAAAAGAAGTACGGCCTACCACCCTCAAACCGATGGGCAAACCGAAATCGTTAACAAGACACTAGAAACATACTTACGGTGTTTTGTGAATGGGAGCCCAAATCTAGGGGTAGGTGGCTACATTGGGCTAAGTATGCCTACAATACGGCTCACCACGAGTCAATTGGGTTCACTCCATTCCAAGTGGTCTATGGGAGAGATCCTCCAAGACTAATTAAGGTAGGCAAAGGCCAAACACCCGTTGACAGCCTAGATGAATGGCTACAAGAGCGGGATTGGGTGCTTGAGGACCTCAACATGAACTTGCTGAGAGCACAACAAAGGATGAAGATCAATGCGGATTTAAAAAGGAGGGAGGAAGAATTTCAAATAGGAGACTATGTGTACTTGAAGCTCCAACCCTATAGGCAAAAGTCACTAGCAAAACGGCCTAATGAGAAGCTATCACCGCGTTTTTATGGACCATTTTCGGAGGTAGAACGCATAGGGCCGGTAGCTTACAAGTTGGACTTGCCGAGTACATGTAAAGTGCACCCGGTTTTTCATGTCCCTCAGCTGAAACGAGCACTTGGGAATCAAATGGTGAACCCCACAATACCCAGCCAGCTAACCGAGGAGTTAGAATTGATTGTAGAGCCTGAGCAAGTTCTAGATATTAGGGTGTCCAAGAGCAATCAGCAGGTCAAGGAGGTGTTAATCAAGTGGACAGGTCTGCCAGCATTAGAGGCTACTTGGGAGGAAGCTGCTATCATCATAGAACGATTTCCCTCCTTTCACCTTGAGGACAAGGTGAGTCTTCTAGGAGGAGGGAATGTAACAAATGCTCTGACCCCTAAGGATCGTGGCCTGGTGACTTATGTGAGAAGGAAGAAAGGTCAGCTAAGGAATGAGGAGCCAACCAATGATTAGTGCTCTGCCAAAGAATGAGGGCTGCCAAGGAATCAGCAGGACAGTCACCACCAAATCAGTGTCACAGCTACCACAACAACAACAACTTTTGTCTTGTTCTTTTCTTTTGTCAGGATGTGTATATAAACAAAGGGAGGGTAGGATTGGCGATTAGGCAAGATCATTGTAAAACCTAGACCTAGAGAGTGGTACCCTAAAGGTGCTAAACCAGAGATTAGTAGCCTAAAGCTACCCCTGTTTTTGTTACTTCATTTCCATAAATCAAAGAAGCTGCCAACTTTCCCCAAGAACTGATCTTTATTGCTTTCAATCTATTTCATTACAAGTAAATACCTGTTAGAGTGTTACAAGATCCAAGATCTAGAAACCCGTTGTGTGAATAAAGGGGGAGTTTGCTCGTCTAGTCCAACTGAGTCATGTAAAACGAACGAAGACAGCTGCATAGAAGGTGATCTCGAGAAAGCCCCTCCAACGGCCAAGTTAGTAAATGACGTTTAGAAAGGAAAAAAAAAATCTAGAGAGACAAAAGAAATTACCCCTTAAAGGTTTGGCAGATAAGTATTATAAGGAGTAAATGAATTGATTGGGGTTAAGGAGTTTATAGGCCGTGTTTAGGGTTTCTCGGGATTCGGGCCCCGATCAACTCTTGAGAGCCCCACTGCAGGGTATTTTGGTAATTTCATCGCTTAATGGAATTTGACCTTCTTGGGGTCCAAACACAACTGAATCTTATAATTATTATGGGGTGAGCAGGTGAGGTGGGTATCACTTATGAGATTCTTCGGGAAGGGGTATAGTTAGATCCCCTGTGGTATGGGGTTCCATAGTTAAAAAAACAATTAAGTAGATGGAATGGATTCTAACTTCATTCCAACTCGTTCCAAAATATCCAACCAAATGACTCCTAGTGAATGCACATTGGATAATGGATATAGCGCCAAAAATCATCCCAAGGGAACAAGATCTTTGGCCTTCAAGACTAAAAGCAAAATAAATCTACTCTGTGTTTTATATTGTTAATTGTTTTAATCTCAACTTTACATAAAAATTAGAAATGACTGCAATAAATTTGAACAAAATTAATACAGTTTCAGAGATCTGGCAATTATACCTTTGTTTATAATGTGGTTGTGGACTTGGGGTGTATAGTTGACTCCAAAAGCTGGGCTCGGATCCAGTGTATTACATACTATAGACAGAGAAACGCTTCAAAAGCCAAACTTCCTTCACAAAATACATAGATAAATCCCATTTTCTTTAATCATCATGATGATTCAGACACGTACTGAAATGTGACATTAATACACCAAATTTACTTCATGATCTTACAAAAACAAATAAAATTTCAATTTTGATTCAACCAATTTACTTCATAATCTTCATGATGATCAAATTCCCAAAAAAGAAAAAAAAAAACGATCACCAAGATACATGAGTGATGTCAAACAATTGTATGTAATTCCATATATAAAACAAATTCATGGTCAAAGCTGACTTATGGTATTACTCGTAAGAAAAGGAACTTAAGGAAGCAAACACAAGCATAAAGAACAATCCCTTATGTTCAAATTCCAATAATTTTATTAAACACAAGGCTCAATTACACTAAACTAACCCACAAAAAAATTGTTACTCTGAAAAATACTTTCACAGTACCTATGATACTGGAACTTTGTTGTAGGTGATATCGAATGTCCCACAGCAGAAACAAAAAATTCCAGAATATCATACAAGAACATTGACTTATTGCAATTTATAGGTGCTTTTGTGGAGTGAAAACTACTTCCTCCATTTCTATTTAGTAGACCCATAACAATTGGCACAATATTACCCCCAAAGTTATCTCCACATTCACTTTGCAGTGGTAATTTAGAAAATCTCTCTACCAACTCTACCAAAAGCTTACCAAATACAGTATTGGTCAAGTAATAGACATTTCCATTTTAGGAATGTTAGTCAAGTAAATAAAAATGGAGGTAAAGACACGTAGGTATCAATACTAAGGCTACTTAAGACTCTACACCATAATTTTAACGCATCCTCTTAAGAAACAATTTTTTCAGAATGGTATATACAGGTTAAGGATAATTTGATATTGCAAAAACAAATGCTTAAAAAAATCACTGGCGGTTTAAATCGACCAGGCTTCCCACTATGCCATGGCGAATAACATCAGGGTGATGGTTTCTAATGGAAAGATAAATATATTTAAGGGAAGAAGCAAAAGATTTGCAGTGCATATGCATGCACCTAAAGTTGTTTTCTCAGGTGTTGAATCTCCCTCACAATTGTAAGAGAATCATTTTTTACAATAGAGTTGCTTGGAATTATATTTTAAAATAGACTTATACTATCTTTCTGGAATAAAAGTAGGGTTCTCAAACCTGATATAATATACACAGTGAGGAGGTTACAGGATCATTATGTAGAAGAAAAGAATTAAACATCAACTTCTCACGTTTATTTTTTTAAAATTTTATTTTATCTAAGCAAATAATGATAAAAGGGTAACAGGAAATCAAAAGTTAAGTCCATCCACTGGAAATTTAGAGAAAGAATGGAAACAGTAAATGCTCCACAAGTTGAAACTAGACTAATAGCAACTGTCATTAGTTTTAACACTTCATATTAGATACTAAAATTTTAACTTTCGATAAAATATGCTTCTATAAGATCAGATTGGAAAAGAGTTACACATCCCTGTATCAACTGTTAATAATTGACGTCCCAATTAAATTGTCATAACAGTCAACAAAGCAACGATCTACTAATAAAATTGTGGCATATGTAATATAGATCAAGAAATCAGTGGTTCACATAAAAGGGACAACATGTATGCGAAACACCTAATACAATGAATCCCAAACCTATTCACCAGTGTTACACGGACAAGGAAGATATTGAGAGAATATTGATAGATGCTTTGATTTAAAAAAAAAAATAATAATAATAAATAAAATAAAAACTAAAATTTAACAACACCTAATACACTATGCACTAGCATCTAACACCATTAAAGCTTGATGACATCTTCAAATTTGGCTTTTTACTCTCCTACAAAGTAATGCTCTTGCTATTCAACCTTCCCAACTAAAAATGTCTAACTATTACAGCTTTACTGGTTATTATCATTCCAACGGACATGATTTATGAGTGTTGGACAAGGAACTGATATTGAGAGAATATTGATAGATGGTATTATGAAATAAAAAAAAGATCTAAAATTTAATAACGCCTAATACCTTATACACTGACTTGCATCTAGCAGTATTAGAATGAACTCAATGACATCTTCAGATTTGGCCTTTTACTCTTCCTGCAACAAGCGATTCAACTGTAGAGCCTGTTAGCTGAGCATAAACCTCATGGACTTCCTCAAAAGGAAAAACAAACCTTTTCAAGAACTTAGCTTCGCTCAAGATAGAAGCACTAGAAAGAAGGTAATGCTCTTTTATCAGGCCTTTCTCCTTCAAAACCTGTAAGACTCGGTGTCTTGGCAATAACCTCTTCTCTATGCTACAAGTAAAAAACGAAGACTGGGATGCTAGGTAATCCGGCTTATAACCCAGCTGGTTTATCAGAAAATCCAATCTTTCCTTAATTCTTTCCTCTTTTGATGTCAAGCACAAAGGATTTCGCCTGATCAATTCCATGACATCAAATTGAGTCCATCCAAAGCTCTTAAAAACTTCACATTTATCGTAGATATTCTTATCACTACATACAGCGACACATTGTATTCCATAAACAAACATCACAGAGTTTCGAGAAATCCCTAACTTTTCTTCAACCCTAATCAAGAGATTTCGAAATGAATTCGTCTCCATACAGTAAATACTAGGCCGGTGAAAAACAAGTTTCTTGAGTTCATCACCAGAAATTCCCCAATTACTTTGCAACATTTCAACATTGGGAATCAAATATTTAGCAGCTTTACTAAAAGTAACTCTATTCGATATGTTTATCACCCGAACAACATTCTCATCACTACCCAGAACAGTCCTAAAAGCATGAATTGCAGGACCCAAATTTTGGCGCACTATTGAAGGGTTTTTTAAAATAGCTTGAACAAGATCAGACTCAGATAAACCCAGATCATTAAGAACCTTAATTTTGGGTTTTAGGGTTTGTCTAACCCTAGAAAGTAAAATCCGGGGTTCATGACATACAAGTTTCCTAATATCAGATTGCTGAAAACCAATTTGCTTAAGGAATTGAATAACAGATTCAGCCTCTTCAACCCTATTGAAATCAGCAACAAGCTTCGCTCCACCAATTCCCCGCCGACAAGCGAGTGAAGCGGAAGTAGAGAGAGATTGGTGGTTGGAGAAACCCAGTTTATCAACTAAGAAGTTCGCAAATGAAGAAATATTACCTTCATTTGATGAAGAAGATGTTGAAATGCGTCGAAAACCAAGCATGAAGAAGTAGCTGTAGAGGCATCGGAAGCCATTGACAGTGCCATTGGAGCTGAACCCAAATTTAATCATTTTGTATAAGTCAATTTTAGATGAACTCAACCTTCTTTTTATTGGCCTGTTACTATTCAGTAGATTAATTGAATTTTCCTGATCTCAATACTCTTTCCAGTCTTTCGTCCCAAAATTAGAGGTTGGACCGGGCCGGGTCGGGTCGAATCGGGTCTAATTTCAAACTTGGATCACGCTAAATTATTGTATGTATATTTTTTTTTGGTGCACAATTATTGTATGTATATGGATGAAAATGTAAATCGATTATTTTATTGAGTCATGTCAAATTTTGAGACCACCACGCAAAGTATGAAAACAGTGTCGTATCAAAAAATAGTGGTTAAGTGAGACATCAACTTTATAGGTTGTGTATAGTTTTATTAATGCGTACTTAAATATAATTGGTGGTGAGGAACTCGGAATTGTATTGAACACCATGTAAAATGAAATACGAGTAGGCACTTATTATGGATTCAGGAGAGTACATTTTATTACCAAAATACTTTTTTTTTTAACGAGTAGAATAATATTATTAAATAAAAGTCATACGGCATCTACAATAATAAGGATCTGTAAACCACATATTTAGAGAAAATATCATAACTTTTACAATCAAAATCATAACTAATTTGCATATTTGGCATAGCTCATACTCCACCGCTTCAAGCTTGACGCGAGCAATGATTTTCGATGTCTTTGCATCTTTCCAAGTTGAGACCTCCGCAATCTGCGCTGATGTTTTAATCGACCGGTTGATGACAAATTCTAGACCCATAAGAATCCAAATCACCTTCCCAATTATTGTAAGAACCCTAAAAATAAAATTCTCATCCATAGATGAGAATCAAATCCCAGAAAAATTGGGAAAACCCAGAAAATTGGGACAAACTCTCACAGATGGAGAGAACAAAACAAAACAGATAAACCAAAACGTAAAACAAAACTAAAAAACTAAATTGAATTATAGAAAAAGGGTCGGAAATAGTCTAATTTTCAAAGAAATTAGACTATTTCCGGCCTACACGGCCAAGAAAATTAAAACCCTAGAAGAGAGAGGAGAGAGAAGAGAGAAAAAGGGGCGGCATTAAACTATTACCAAAATACTTGGAACAATATAGATATGGAATATACAATGTACAAAACAAGCTTAGTGGAGATGGAAGGAGTATACCTTGCGACTTTGAGGTTACAAGTTCGATCCCAACCAACAACACTGGCTTGGGAGTTGGGGATTCTTTGTTGGGTGGCTAAGTTGTGAGGGTGTTAGTTTAATAAATCGATTTTATTTTTTAGCTCTCTTAATCACTTATCAATCCGAGTAGGACCTAACCACTATGCTAACATAGTCCTACCTATATCTGGTCTTGGTTGGCCTTTCACCCCTAGCAACAAGTCATCCTTGTATTTTGCCACTCTTCTGACTACGCACTCCCTGTTCGATAGCCTGACCCTATTGATGTAAACTAGTTGTGGACTGTGGGCATAAAAATAAAAAAAAATAAAAAAAAGAGTGAAATTCCAATATTTCATCTTGGGAATCCAGTCCGACCATACCTTCACTTATGTACTCGTAATATAATTTTGCCCCATTAGATGACCCATAATCTTACTGTGAATTGAGTGTGCTCATTAGGAAAGTGTTACCCTAGCAGCCCATGGCACCTCCTAGGCCACAATGTAAGCATTCATGTGCTCACGTCCAACGAGGAAGTAACCCATTAGACAACCCTTTAAAGCCATACTATATTATTGTGTTTATACAAGTCAAAGTTTGGATCAAGTTCTATTTGGGTTGGTTTTGAATCAGGTCGGTTGAGTTATAGTCAGTGGCGGACCCAGGAATTTACGAATGGTGAGTCACAATCGATAATCAAGTATGTAAAAAAAAAAATTTATCGAACAACCAAATAATAGTACTAAAAAATACATCCAAATATTCAAACAGTACAAAATACAACCAAATGTTCATATAATACTACAAAAGACAACTAAATAGTAATGCAAACTTATTACAATAGTTCTCGACGAGTTTTCATGTTTTGATATCGATTCATGATATCTTCCATGCTAACATTCAAAAACAAATCATTCTCCAAATAAGTAATTAAACAATCATTCAACATTTGATCTCCCATGCTATTTCGTAGTTTGTCTTTCACTTGCTTCATGCCAGAAAATACCCTTTCCACACTTGCCGTTGCGACAGGAAGAAGCAACACCAACTTCAAAAGTAAATAGACCCTATCATGAGTTTCAGACAATCCCGTTTCAACCAATTTGATTGAAAGCTCACTAAGACCCTTCAAATTCCAAAACCTTTCATCTCCTCTAACAGAACAAATGTAACTCTCAAGTGTGTGACCAAAGACTATCAATTCTGAACTTGGAAATTCATTAGGATAGAATTTCACAAGCTTAATCAATTTTTCCTTGTCAAACTTAGAAAAACGATCCACAGGACTCAAACAAGACATACACACAAGTAGTTCTTTAGTTATTTCGGGAAATCGATTTTCAAGTTCTTGCAATTGAAGATCAATGACACCAAAAAAAACTTCAACTCGAAAATGATGTAAATTAGACACTTGTGGGCATTTACCTCGAAACAACCTCCTCCCGAGAACAACATATTTAGCCTCCATATCTGGAACTGCAATGTCATAGTCACCAATAAAAGAAATGACCTGTTCCATATGAGAATCCCATCCTTCATCTCTCATTTTTTGCAAATTAGTCTTGGTTACATTAACCATGGCCATTGCATTCACAATGTCTTGATCGTGCTTTTGTAAGGCCACATTCAAAGCATTTGTTATCGCAAATATACTAACCATCAAGTGTGCCACAAACACAAAATCAAAGGACATCAGAAGATTTGTAAGTGTTTGAGCTCTATTAGAATCTATTGTATCAGATACTTTTGCAATATCCTCAAGAGAACCAAGGATTACAGGGAATAAATCAAGTACATTCAAGATTGTCTTGAAGTGAGATCCCCAACGAGTATCACAAGGTCTACCTAATCCACGTTCTTGATTTAAACCTGAACCCGTTTCAAGTTCACCTAGAGACAAAGCATCCACCACTCTTTGAGCTTGATTTTCACGAAGAAACTCTTAGGCGTGAGCAAGCTAGCGAAGTCGCGAAGAGCACTGTCAAAGTGTCAAACATTTCACAAATTCACAATTCAGAATTTCAAATAATGCAAAATTCTCTGAAATTGAGTTGATTATTGAACAATTAGGGATTTAGGGTTCAAATTTAGTATTACTAATTCATAACTAACAAGTAATATCAACAATTAAATAAATAAATAAACAAAAAAAAGCCGAAAGATGCATCTACTAACCTGAAATTATGCGAAGAGGAAGACGAAGCGAACTAGCGAAGAGGCGAATTGGAGTTGGAGATGATTGATGAAGGATTAAAGGGAAGAGGCGAATTGGCGAAGAGAAGAACTGAAGAAGGCTAGGGCTTGAAATCAATTCGTGATTTGGTCATTTGGGGAAAACTGATTTTAGTTTTTTTTTTTTTTTTTAAAAAAATAACTTAAAATTTTTTTTTGGGCCTGGTGAGTCACTTGACCCACCAGGTCTAAGCCCAAGTCCGCCACTGCACTTATAGTTAACACCTCTACCCGCATATAATATTTTATAGTGTCAATGTTATACCTTAAAGTATTTTGATGGCAACAAAGAAAGTATGGTATTTTTGTTCCTGCTGCTATGTACATTGGATACTAGTGTTTTACTAGAGCCCATAATCTAGCCACTTTGCCAGAAAAGGGGTCCAGTTTCTTAATTGTCCCCCCCCCCCCAAAAAAAAAAAAAAAAAAAAACACGCGCCCAAATTTGAATATAAATTTAACTCCTGCAAACTTGCAATAGACCTAAGTTTAACTGTTTGCGTACTGCATATTGATGCTATATGTTGTTCTGAATTGATATTCCATACTATGTATATGCATGAATGCATGACTTGTGGCAACCTTACAAAGAAGGTGCACACCCACATGTGTTGCTATGCTTGACAATATAATTGAAAAATATTCCTTCACTTTATAAAATCATCATAATAATTACACCATTCCCTTTATTGATATGGTCCTTGCCACTTTCAGGTAACAACCTAATCAGATTTTGACCTCGGCCATCTTTGATTCATCTTCTGTTTGGTGCTGATGCTTCAATGTAGGATTTGCCATTATTTTCCGTATCAGCTTAGAACATTTGTCTGTTAGAAATTTGCTTTTGATGAATTATCAGGATATTCTCCACTTCATGTTTGACTGTCTTTTCTTTTTCACCGACATTTAACAGTCATGCAGACAGTGCAAGTGCATCTTGAACTGTGCTTCCCCTTCCCGTTGGATGGTTGAAAACAAACTATGCATGAAAATACCAGGAAGGGGTGCTTTGGATGCTTTGTGGTAGCTGCAACAGATAAAGAGCTTGGATCATAAGTATTATCTCCCAAAACTGCTGCAGTAGCTAGAGCATGAAGCCAGAAGATTCCTGTTCCAGTGCTATTCAACAAGCCACTACTTTTCTTCTATGTGTAGAACCAGTGCAATTAGATAGGAATTTGATGAGAAAAATGCGTCAAATAAATGCTCATTTTCACATGAATAATTCATCTTTAATTTAAGTAGGTACATTAGGCTCAGAATCAAGATGGAAATCTCATAACTAACCACCTAATACATAGAAATTAAGAACAATAGGAGTTCAAAACCTTGCTCAGACGTCGAAGGTTTCAAAGTTTTCTGGGGCCTTATTCCTTTGGAGCCCCAAAAATATTTGATGGGAGGATATAGTGTGCGAAACACAGAAATTTCACAGCCATACATATCATTATATATTTATATGTCCAAAAAAAAAAAAGAGTCTGAATCAAAATTTTTAAGGAAAATGCAACTAGACACTCAACCTATGAATAATGAAATTGAAAACTTAAATGACTGGATGGATCCTGGAAATACTGAAGAAAAAAAAAAAAGCTAACTGAAGGCCCAAATCCTTTTCAATAGTGAGACGAGAAAAAGCCTGAATAAGCAAGGGATATTGTCTCGAGAAACACTAAACAGCAGGGGAATTTCCATCCAGTCCTACAGGTTGGCTACTAAGTATGCAACCAGGACAAAGTGTATTACATTGCATCCAAGAGACCTTCTCATTTCTTTCCACACTTCAAATATTTCAGCACAACCAAACACTTACTATCAGATCCAAACCTTGTATGGAAACTACCTCGGTAACTCCATAGCTATCATCTCTACAAAGTGAATTTTTTTTTTTAGCATTTTTTTCACCTTCCACAGAACATACTCCCCTGCACCCCCCCCCTCTCTCTCTCTCTCTCTCTCTCTTACCCTCTTCCAGTTTACAATGGTTGTCCCACTATTGGTCAATTGCCTATTTTTGTAGGCTTGTCAACTACCTTAATTATTCTTTTTGTACTTTCTAAGAATCAATGACACTGCTACACTTGATGCTTCTCCAAATAAGTTTCAGATTTCAGTGGAAAAAGTAGTTTTAGTTGGCTAAGCAATAATTTTCTGCTAAAATATAGGACTAGAAATTCTAAAATAATATAAAGATGAAGATTTTACCCGGATGGACGGGTGGTGAAAATACTGCTCTTCCCAAAAACTGGAGGTTCCTACAAGACACACATATAACACATATATACTGAAGATGAACATAAATCCCAAGAACAGAAGTATGAAACAAACATATTAAAAATATAATTGCTTGAGCTACAATGAAAACTTATAAGCAATGTATCATAATCTGACAATTGAAAGTTTTGATATATGAATGGTGCACTGGAATATTTAATACGAAAGTATTATGATCAAGATCACTTCTCATCAATATTTAGATTTCTGTCTGTCATGGATCCAAGTAACCCACACATCAATCCGGGGTCAAACCTCAACTTGGGTCAAACCCAGCCTGGTCAACCACCTTTAGTGGTGTATACGAGGCACAAAGGAAGGAGCAAGCATGAGCAGCAACAAGCAACAGCAGCAGGGGGCATTTCTTAGCAACAAGACAAACTCCATTAACAAGAATAGAAGGAAAGGAAGGCAGCTAGTTTCTTTGTGTTCTATTTATGTTTTTCTAAATTAGCTAAGTATCACATGTTAGCCTTAAGGTCAGCTTGACCATTTTAGTATAAGTATGGTAGTATGGGTAACATAGAAGGCAGGCAGAAATTGAGTGAACCTCTTGAGAGACTTGTAGCCTCAAGCTACTAGAGAGATTTGTAGCCTAAAGCTACTAGAGAGATTCATAACCTCAAGTTATGGGCTATCCGTATGTAATCCAACCTTTAATCAATCAAATGTTCAAGCTTTTAGCCTTAAATTACTATTAATCGTGCTTAATTAAATCAGTAGAATTCAGTCCATAACACTGTCACTTGCTTGATTAAGCCACACTACCAAAAAAGAAGTTCATATGAACAGAATCAAGGATTCAAGGGACAACAATAGCTCCCTCAACCCTCGCCCCTTTTCAAATCCCCTCGGATTTTACCCTGTTAACTAGTTTACCATTTCTTTAGGTTAAGAGTCTGATGTGCACCAGATGAGAACAAATATTCAAAAAAAAAAAAAAAAAAACAATTGTCCCAATCCCCCACCCCCCCACCCCCAACACACACACAAGAAAAACAAGCCACAACTAAAAACCTAATACCTAAATGAATGTCTGCATAAACTATGGATAATAGAAGTTCAAGTGCACAAAGCACCAGATTTAACAGCTTCCAACCACCTGTTTTCTGTATGTACAAACTAAACACATCTGAGATGCACTTTTTTTTTTTTTGGAAAGGAAATCACCTTCAAAATGCGTACAATTACCTAGGAACCCTTTTCATAGATTTTAGAGACAATGTGAACCAACGTATAGAAATGGGATGGGTTCCAGAGCTGAAACGCTTGTACGTTGAGTAACATATCAGGGAAACTGGGGTTTTTGAGCCTGCTACATACAGGTAATCATAACACTCCCAAATTCCCAATATAAGGAAGCAGGATACATTTATTGTATGCTTTATTTTTATTATTATTTTTTCTTTTTCATCTTGGCTTTATAGTGAATAAGTTATACTGTATATAACATTATTACTGCATTAATGTTCATCTAAATAAAATATTTAGTTTCAGAATCCTGGCAGTAAAACCTTGGCTTACAATCCCTTGTAGTTTAGTCCAAAACCTGGACTTAGATTCAGTCCCTTTACAATACAAAAGATAAATCGCATATTTATATTACTCATATTTTTAAAAATTTGCACATTTACTACAATTTTACAATAAGTCAATAAACAGCCTAAGACATTAAATGCATTATAGCATGATACCTCACGTCCTCATATTTAAACAAAACAAAATAAGAAAGGGAAAGAGAGAGACATCACAAAATGCCAAGTGAATTATAAGTAAATCCATAAACCTAAACAAACCATGGTCAAAGGAAAAATTAATTAATGGAAGGAGGTAAGTAAAGACTCGCCCATGCACATGGCGAAAGTATCTAAATGATAGCTAGCAATGCAAAGTGCAGACACTAGAAATCAGTATAAGCTTCACAAGTTAAGATCTGAAACTTTGTCTTTCTCTAGCTTCAATATATTTGCTAAACGGACTCAAATTTCAAATAGCATCTAAATCATTAGCATATAGAAGAACGATACACTTTTGTATGACATAAGATCCAATTAGCATAACATTAGTATGGTAAATAGAACAACAAGACCTCATATTGGCAATTATATGAAACCAACTCTCCCTAAGAAAGCAATAGGCATCACAGTCCACACTCCACATAACAACCATCTATTTTAAAAAGTAACTATAACAACATTCTAGTAAATTTAACATAGGTCATGAACTCAGAAGGATTGCATAAAGGGACACATATGGGAAAAACCAAATACAATACTCCCATACCTTTTAGCAAAAAGATCTGAGTCAAGCCCCTTTGCAAGAATTGCATTAAAATTCTACTCATTGCTCAGAACAAAGTTATATCCTGCAATCAAGCCTTCCCAATTACAATTGCCTATCAACCTTTTCTGGTTCATTTTCAAAAGGTAAGATTGCTACTCTGACAAGGAAATGATATTGTGAGAATAATGAAAGTTGTTTTGATGACAAATTCAAAGTTAACATTGCCTGATACCATCAAGCAGCATTGGAATCCGATGACACCATTGGCTTAAGTTCCAGCGCTCCTAGAAAGAGGTAGATTCTCAAAGGTTTGGCCTCTTGAAAAAAGCGACCCCAGAGTAGAACCCGTCATTTGGGCATAAACTTCATGGACTACCTCAAATGGACGAACAAACCTTTTGAAGAACATAGAGTCAGTCATGCCAATAGCACTAGAAAGATGGTAATTCCTCCTTAAAAACCCCTTTTCCTTCAAAATCTGTATGACCTGTAGTCTTGGCAATAACCTTTTCTCCAAGCTACAAATGAATAATAAAGGTTGCAATGACAAGTAGAATGGCTCGTAACCCTGTTGGTTCATCAGAAAGTCTAATCTTTTCTCAATCCTTGCCTTCGTATAACACAAACACAATGGATTTTGCTTGATCAATCTCATGACATCAGCTTGAGTCCATCCAAAGCTCTTAAACACTTCACATCTATCCTCGATATGCTTATCACTAACACGAGTCATCATGTGGAAGCCATACAAGAACATTGAAGAGCCCCGAGGAATCTTTAACTCTACTTCAACCTTGACCAACATATCTCGAAACAAATCAGTCCTCACTGCAAAGCTCTTAGGGTGCTGAATAATATAATTCTGGATTTTTTCAGTAGGAACGACACAATAATTTTGCAACAAATTAACATTCGGAATCAAATACTTAGCAGCGCAATCAAAAGAGATTCCACTGGATTGCTTCAGAACAGTAACAACATCACCATCACTACCCAAAACAGTTTTATAAGCCTGTATTGCAGGACCCAAATTTTGGAACAAAATCGAAGGATTGATCAAAATTACTTCAACAAGATCAGACCCAAAAATACCCAAATCATTAAGAATCTTAATTTTAGGTTTTAGCGTTTCACTAACCCTAGATACTAAAATCCGAGGTTCACGACAAGCAATTTTCCTAATATCAGATTGTTGAAACCCAAGTTGATTAAAGAATTGAATTACAGAATCAACATTTTCAACAAAATTCAAATCAATCTTCCCTTCTGGTACTTTATCAGCGAGCTTAGCAGCAGTAGTGAGTGAATAATACTTGGTAAAACCCAGAGAATTAACCAAGAAATGGGGCAACAAAGAAGAAGAAGAAGAAGAAGAAGAAGAAGAAGAAGAAGAAGAAGAAGAAGTAGGGTTACCTTCCTTGGTTAAAGTTGAATACAACAATGGAAGGTTCTGGAAAGTACGCATGAAGAAGAAGAGGCCTCGGACGCCATTGCAGCTGTTCCCAACTTTTATCATTTGCTTAGCTTCTTCAACCTCTCAACATTCCATGTATTTCGGCTGTTTTCGCTGATGTAGTTAGTCTATATTGGGGGTTGTTATTAGTTAACAATTAACAAGTTGAGCACTTGAGCCAAGGCCAAGCTTAAGGTAGTTCAAGCTCGACGCGAAACATTTTGGAAGTGTTCGACACTGGCTTTTGAGTACGGACATCGTTTTTAGCGGTTTGACAAGTCAAGTCATTTACCAACAAAAAATATTTTACAAGTCCGTATTTGGATCTTGTGGATGTGTTTATTAGAGTAGTGATAGACTACTATCAGGTATGGGTTCGTTGTGCCCATATCAGGTGTAAAAATATAATTTCACGTAAAATTTACCCATGTTGTAAAAATGCAGTCTCTCTCTTCTCAATAACAGCATATAAATTATGAATAACAGTATAAAAACCAAGAATAACAGTATACAAACCAATAATAACAGTATATAAATTAATAATAACTGAGCACCGACAAAAAACTACCGGTGTCAATTTCGGCCAAACTCAGCGATTCCCACTTTCCCAGCATAGAACTCACCGTTTTTAATGGCTAGAGCCATAAGTTTGTGTCTCTTGTTTTTGGGTTATGTTTTTTTTGGGTGGTTTCCGATGATTTTTAATGGAGGTAGTTGCGTGTTTTTGGATTTCGACCAAGGTAGTAGCTAGTGGGGTGGGCTTCTTGTTGTTGGAGGCGGAGGTTTGGCCGGCGGAGGTTTGGCCGGCAATGGGAGCTATCCATGGAGGTGGGGAAAAGGGTTCAAGGAAGGAAGAAGATGAAGAGGAAAGGGGAAAAAAAGGAAAAAAAAAAAATTGTGGTATTGGGTAGTATTACCCATACCATGGTAGTGGGTAATACTTACTCGTGTTTATTAGGCTTTACTTTCTTAACCACCCTAATACAGGTAATTAACCGGAGAGTGGGGAAACAAATACATGACTTGCTAACAAGTACACATAGGAATATAGGATGATAGGAGGTTCCATAATTTCCTTCATGGATGCTTGATTTTAGATGATTTGGGCTAGCTCCTTTACGCTTCTTAGACTTGCAAAAGCAATGGAATAGTTTTTACCTTTCTTGTCTTCATCTTTAGCGCGTGCGACCTACCACATTTCTTCGACATGGATGAAAATTTGGAAGTAGTGGATGTGAAAATAGGGTGCTTTTGATTGACTTCAAGAGATGAATTGTAAGAGAGATGAAATTTGGGCAAGCACAGCCAAACTAATACCTTGAAACTTCACATCCTTGTAGAATCTTCTTACAATTTGTACATCTAATTTGATGAGTTTGTGTGAGTTCAAACAATTCCTAAATCCCCAATAACACTATACGTTACAAAAAAAAAAAAAAAAAAAAAAAAAAAAAAAAAAAAAAAAAAAAAAAAAAAAAAACTTAGCCTAAATGATTATAGGCCATAAGCCAAGAAAAATGATACTACAACAATAAAAAAAAATTTGCTCTTCAAGGAACGTAAATTACAAGGGAAGAGAGGGTATCACAAATTATCACACTGTTGTTTATTTTCTGGTTCACATTTTCCATTACTAAGATTCACTTGTTCCGGAGGACTAAGAGGATGATCATCGACGACTTTCCCCCCAATCTCTCCAACAGCTTGTCTTGTCAACGACGTAGAACTAGCTTGTTGCTCAGCTGTCAAGCTAGCAAGACCACTATGCTTCATGTACGCATCCAGAGGAAAACTTGCTAGTTGAAGGAGATTCGTCAAACTAGACTGAGAAGGCTTCACCTTTAAGTCTTCATCACGCTGAGGGTGGAAATTCAGGTCGAGGCTCTTGCCACTTTCAGTTAACAAACTGATTGGATTTTGTCCTTGGCCATCATTAGTTTGAGCAGGACCCACTTGCAAGTCATCTTCAGTTTCATGCTGATTCTCCGGGTAAGACTTGTTCTTTTCCGCATCAGCTTTAATATCTTTGCTAGGATTTTGCTGTTGGTGATTCTTCAGGGCAATCTCAGCTTCCTGTTCCGATTGCCGTTTCTTTTTCCTCATCATTAGGGTCTTGAAACGGCGTTTAACTGTCATGCAAACGGTGCAAGTACATGTTGATTTGTGCTTCCCTTTCCCACTAGGTGGTTGAATGCATACTATGCAAGAACAACCAGGGCGGTGCCTTGGATGTTTGGTGGTAGCTGCAACAGATGAAGTACCTGGATCATTAGAGTTATCTCCCAAAACTGCTGCAGTAGCTAGAGCATTGAGGCCAGAAGATTCCTGCTCCTGTGCCATTCGACTACCCATCACCATTCTTCTCTTCGTCGAATCTACAGGAGAAAAATATGTCAAAGAAATGTCCATCATCACATAAATATCTACTTCCATTTAAGCAGGTACTTCTAGGTCTCTAAGTCATCACACTATATTGTTTATCTATATACGAAGAAAAAAAAATCTTTCACGCAAGAGCGTCAAGGAAATAGAGAATAAACTAGGCAAGATACAAAGATGAACTTTCATAAACTAACATGCTAATACTGTAATACATAGGAACAACAATAGCAGTCCATACCCTTATTCAGATGTCGAAAATTTTCAAGTTCTCTGGGGCCCAACTCCTCTGAAGCAGAGCAAAAACACCTACAACAACAAATGAAATGTGTTGTCATCTATAGGCTTGTACAACCCACACATGAGTTTGCTCTTTTTGTACAAAGTATGTTGGCTGTTTGTTCCTAATTGTATGCATGAGTGTATGAATACATAAATTACTAACCTGCTCTGGTCCCAAGCATTATCTGCACATGTCCATTTAGGAGGAAGTAAAATATCACCAGGCAATCTCCGCCACTTAGAACAATTGTCGCATTGAGCCCACTGCTCCACTACCCTAAATTAGATGTATGATAGGATAAAATTAATCAACAATGATGACGAACAATAGGTGAATCATGCAAAGATCTTTCATATCATCAATGCCTTCAATTAAAGACAAACTAGGAGAGCACAAAAAAGGTAAATTATATTGGCCGGCATACCATCTTGAACATTAAATACAAGTATCACTAAAATTACAACCCAAACCACACTAGCAGTTTAGCTAACAGCAAGCCCAAAAATGTTTGTTGAGGGAGGATAGAGTATGCAGACTGCAGAGCCAAATTATATGATTCTCAGTCAAAAGAAAGAATCTGAATCTGAAAAATTTTTACTTTCATGGAAAATGAAACTAGACCCTATTTCCACATATAGAAATAATTATTTCGGGAGAGAAAGAACCCATTATACCAACATATAAAAGATGTTAATTGAGTTAAATCAAGTCTTAGCATCAGCGCAAAGAAACATGGAATTTTGAAGAAAAACAAGCGAACTAACTGAAGCCTAAACAACTTATCATAACTTATAAGAGAAAACACCTGAACAAGCAAGAAAATACACCTTAAGAGACTATAACAACTCAGGAAATTCCATTCAGTCCTTGAGGTTAGCCAGAAAGTATGCACCCATATTTTACAACAGTGTTTTACTTTGCATCAAAGAGGCTGGCTCATCAGCTATGACAACAATTTGACTTGACAATGTTATACATCCGAATATTAGATTGCTACCTTTTTCTTTACAGAATTTAAAAATTTTCTGTGCAACAATGAAATTTGTTTCTACAACTGATTTCACCAATTAAATATTCATCAAAGAGATGTAAGAATGAGTATAGCTTCTTAGTTCTTCTTACACACACCATTTATATCCTAGAAGATGGGATTAGTGACAATAACACCATTATGAAGAAGAAAGAGAATCATCCATACTCCATTATAATACAGATATCTGCTGTGATTCACTAGTGGAGGAACAAACTTTATATTTATATATAGCCTTTCTCTATCAGATCCAGACCTTGTATAGAAACTACCCCCATCATATTGAAAGGGAAAAAAAAATTGGCACCAAAGGTCATCAGCCCATCACATTAAAAGGATATATTTTGCATATTTTAACCTTCTACAGTCTTACCATACTCACTCCCCTCTTCACACTGATAGTTCTACTATTGGCTAACTGAATACTTTTGTAGGTTTCAAGTCAAACACCCTACATGTTCATTTCATCTCAAAGAACAGATATCACTGTTACACAGAAGTTGGGTTGTTCCTAATAATGCTTCTCCAAATACAAAGTTTTAAGAGAAGTCCCATGGAGAAAAGCAGTTTCAGTTGGCAAATCAATATATTCATTATTCATGCTCAAAAATGGGACTAAAAATTCTAATATGTATGAAATAAAATGAAGAATTTTTTACCCTGATGGACGGGCTGTGAAAATACTGCTCTTCCCAAAAACTGGAGGTTCCTGTAAGAAACACATGCAACACAAGTATACTGAAGATTAATACAAATCCAAAAATATTTACCCTGCTGATGGGAGGATCATTGAAACTAAAAAATTAAATAAAATAAATTTTTCTATGTTCACCTTTTTTTTTTCTGAAAATGAATAGTTTAATAGATTTTAATCTAGGAAATAAACAAGAAATTTCCATGATAGATATTTTGTTACAAGTTTCTGCCAAAATATTAATATAATGATAGAAATCTATTAATCTAAGTATGTTGATTATAGAGTGACAGATAATCTTAATTATTTAACTAAAAGATCACTTACTTCATATTCTTCGATTTCATAATCCTCAATCACAACAACACTAGGCCTTGCACATTGCGGAGGCCGAAGCATACCCTGCACCTCCTCCCATGTCAATCTAAGTGCCAGAACATCTTGGTTATCAATGAGCAACCTCTTACTCTTGGAGCCTATATTGCGACTCTTTTTCCTTTCCAGCATCATCATTGAAGTGGATAACATTCCATCTTCAGTCCGTTCATTACACTTTTCACTGCTATGCCACGGGACATTCCCACCAGCAGAATCCAGTTGTCTTGGCAAAGCATTTATATGAGTATCCGTGCTGCCCTTCATTGACTGGAGAAGGCCAGAGCAACCACTCATTACAGGTAAATTCTCAATAACACCCGAAAAGAAAGATTCACTTGAAAGAGAGGCATTACGGATGGCAGGTGATGCAGCATCCTGCTCAGGTAAAAATTTGTAAATCAATAT